CTGACCCGAACAATAAGGAGCGACGCCAGCCACATGGATGCAGGTTCCACAAACGGCCTGGAACGCAATGGCGATGTCGCCAAGCAGGAATCTGTGACGTCAACAATGGAGCCGCGTCATTGTTTAGTGTGTCCTCATAAGTACTGACATCATAAAGAGAATACGTCAACAATCAGCTGACGTCATAGAGAATCAGTGTATCGTCAGTGTACGCGGCCGGCGGACGTGTTGCTTGCGGAGTGTACTACAAAATCAGGATTTTGGTGCTACAGGAACGGAGTTTTGGTAGAGGTTAGTGAGCGCCTTTATTCTTGGATGTGAAATCCTTTACATTAAATAATAAAAAAAGCCTATGCTTTAAACACTGAAATATGTGTGTACACTGTTGACGACTGCATGTGTAGATTTTGTGATTGTCTATTTCTGTATTTTAAACATGAATTGACAACGTTGATGGTCGAAAGGAAAGTGTTTTTGGCAGCGTCGGGATGTTGGTGGTGAATGAAGGGTCTTGTTAAAACTTTATTGTGTCCTCCTATTTCAGTGTGATTGGATAGACAGTGTATGAAGGAAGTTTGCTGGTGTATATTTAAGGATTTGTCATAAAATGTACTGTGCAGTTTTCACGATGTTTCGTTGTGTTTTCAACAGTATTCGGTTGGCAGTATGAAGGCTGACTTCTAGTGGTAAACATATTTCTCTTAAAACGTCAGTGGTCTCCCGGAGCCTCGCTTTCGTTGCTAGTGATGAATCAGCGTTCTTTGTTGTGTTTTCTGTATTTTGTTTGCTATCTGTGATAACTGTATGATAGATAACATCGTAATGGGTTTGCCAAAGGGACCATATCTATGTGACTGACCCGAACAATAAGGAGCGACGCCAGCCACATGGATGCAGGTTCCACAAACGGCCTGGAACGCAATGGCGATGTCGCCAAGCAGGAATCTGTGACGTCAACAATGGAGCCGAGTCATTGTTTAGTGTGTCCTCATAAGTACTGACATCATAAAGAGAATACGTCAACAATCAGCTGACGTCATAGAGAATCAGTGTATCGTCAGTGTACGCGGCCGGCGGACGTGTTGCTTGCGTAATGTACTACAAAATCAGGATTTTGGTGCTACAGGAACGGAGTTTTGATAGAGGTTAGTGAGCGCCTTTATTCTTGGATGTGAAAGCCTTTACATTAAATAATAAAACAAGCCTATGCTTTAAACACTGAAATATGTGTGTACACTGTTGACGACTGCATGTGTAGATTTTGTGATTGTCTATTGCTGTATTTTAAACATGAATTGACAACGTTGATGGTCGAAAGGAAAGTGTTTTTGGCAGCGTCGGGATGTTGGTGGTGAATGAAGGGTCTTGTTAAAACTTTATTGTGTCCTCCTATTTCAGTGTGATTGGATAGACAGTGTATGAAGGAAGTTTGCTGGTGTATATTTAAGGATTTGTCATAAAATGTACTGTGCAGTTTTCACGATGTTTCGTTGTGTTTTAACAGTATTCGGTTGGCAGTATGAAGGCTGACTTCTAGTGGTAAACATATTTCTCTTAAAACGTCAGTGGTCTCCCGGAGCCTCGCTTCCGTTGCTAGTGATCAATCAGCGTTCTTTGTTGTGTTTTCTGTAGTTTGTTTGCTATCTGTGATAACTGTATGATAGATAACATCGTAATGGGTTTGCCAAAGGGACCATATCTATGTGACTGACCCGAACAATAAGGAGCGACGCAAGCCACATGGATGCAGGTTCCACAAACGGCCTGGAACGCAATGGCGATGTCGCCAAGCAGGAATCTGTGACGTCAACAATGGAGCCGCGTCATTGTTTAGTGTGTCCTCATAAGTACTGACATCATAAAGAGAATACGTCAACAATCAGCTGACGTCATAGAGAATCAGTCTATCGTCAGTGTACGCGGCCGGCGGACGTGGTGCTTGCGAAGTGTACTACAAAATCAGGATTTTGGTGCTACAGGAACGGAGTTTTGATAGAGGTTAGTGAGCGCCTTTATTCTTGGATGTGAAAGCCTTTACATTAAATAATAAAACAAGCCTATGCTTTAAACACTGAAATATGTGTGTACACTGTTGACGACTGCATGTGTAGATTTTGTGATTATCTATTGCTGTATTTTAAACATGAATTGACAACGTTGATGGTCGAAAGGAAAGTGTTTTTGGCAGCGTCGGGATGTTGGTGGTGAATGAAGGGTCTTGTTAAAACTTTATTGTGTCCTCCTATTTCAGTGTGATTGGATAGACAGTGTATGAAGGAAGTTTGCTGGTGTATATTTAAGGATTTGTCATAAAATGTACTGTGCAGTTTTCACGATGTTTCGTTGTGTTTTAACAGTATCGGTTGGCAGTATGAAGGCTGACTTTGCTTCCATTGCTTGTGATGAATCACTACAATCAGCGTTCTTTGTTGTGTTTTTTTGTATTTTGCTTGCTATCTGTGATAACTGTGTGATAGATAGCATCGTAATGGGTTTGCCAAAGGGACCATATCTGTGTGACTGACCCGGACAATAAGGGGTTAGAGGTTAGTGAGCGCCTTTAATCTTGGATGTGAAATTTTTTACATTAAATAATAAAAAAGCCTAGGCTTTAAACACTGATATATGTGTGTACACTGTGGACGACTGCATGTGTAGATTTTGTGATTGTATTTTGTCTTCATTTTCAATATGAATATGATGGTCCAAAGGAAAGTGTTTTTTGTAGCTTTGGGATTGTGGTGGTGAATGAAGTATCTTGTTAAAACGTTATTGTGTGCTCCTCTTTCAGTGTGATAGGATAGACAGCGTATGGCGGATGCTTGCCAGTGTATATTTAAGGATTTGTGGTAACATCTAATGTGCAGTTGTTTCGTTGTGTTTTAACAGTATTCGGTGGGCAGGAACGGATTTTGGCATAAGTAAATGAACGTCTTTATTTTTGGATTTGAAATCATTTGCTATGAATATTAAAAGTAGACCTAAGCGTTAAACACTGCCATATGTGTGTACACTGTGGACAACTGCATGTGTAAATTTTGTGATTGTATATAGGTGTGTGTAGTTTTAAATATGAATTGACAAAGACGATGGTCAAAATCAAAAATTTATTGGTAGCGTCGGGGTGTTGGTGGTGTATGAAGGGGCTTGTTAAAACTGATTTGTGTGCTCCTAGTTCAGTGTGATTGGACAGTCACTGTGAGTAGGCGTTTTCAGTAGATCTCCACAGGTAAGGCCCGACCGCCGCACTCGGGCGGATTTGTGTAATGGCTGCCGACTGCAGTGAAATATGGTTCGAATGTGTGTTGCTGGACGAGAGAGTTTACTTCTGAAACAGAAAATGCCACTTCTGTTGGAGTGGGGTTTGGTCCGATCTTTCCCAGCCCGTGGAATCCGCAGTTTGACAGGAAAAAAGTATGTGGATGCCATCTACAGTACTGTAACGATCATATGGTAAATAAATGGTTATTTTAAAGTTATTTTACAGGTGCTTCAAAGATTCTGATATTGTCTGAAGACTGAGGCTCAACATAATTATCCTGCGCTTCTCGCTTCTGTGTCTAGTTTCAGAAAGCAAATTACATGATCTTAATCCGACCCTTGTCACCTTCGCGTGATGTACGATATAGCAGGGGGCATATGTGTCTTATTATTCTTATATAGACTCCTTGATTGTAGTATGTATGGTTCTTTACTTGTTGTTTAACGCCGCACAGCATTATTCAGACGGCGGCCTGTAAATAGTCGGGTCTGGACCAGACAATCCAGTGGTTGACATCATGAGCATCGATCTATGTGGAATGTACGATGTTTAGCCTTAATGTTACCATCAAACGATGCGGTTGTACTATTTATTGACAGTTACAATAAATCTCTGTAACTTTCTTGACGGAAGATGTGTGTTTTCTGTCCAGCCCAACAGGTTTCATGTGCAACAACGATTTTGGGCCAGGGATTTTGTAAGGAGACTAGCTATTTTCCCAGTTACAACCTAAAAAATAGGCTATTTTTTATGTTAAATCTATGAGCCTCAATATGTCTTTTTGTTTTACAAAAAGTCAGAGACACAATTATTTTTTCAAGCATTTTCTGGGGCAATTTATTCGATAAAATCCCAGTTCCGTAAAAGTGAACCATGACATGCTGTGGGTTTATCTGATGGCTGATTACGAAATACGTCATTGTGGTAAAGATTTACTGAATTTAGCAGGCCAAACTCACCTCGCCGAAATCTCATGGGAGCTGGTGCCTATGTTGAAATGCGTTGATATCAGAAGCGCTGGGTTCTGTTCCTTAATCGTTCCTAACACTAGATCTCCCATACCTCAGTGCTGCATTACGGATAAGATCGCTTTGCGGAACGAAATCCAGTTTATCACCAACAAGCGCGGATACACCTTATTGGAAAAGGATGGGTTCATTTTGTGACCATCAGTTGAAATACAAGAGCTGGAGGAATACGAATTACTCGCGTAGCAATTTTCTTTTGATAGCCATATCTTTGTTAAAACATATCACTAAATGAAATAGGTATGGGTTTTTAATACGTTTACATTATGGTCCATAATTAATAGCTGAATGCCGGTGCGACGTTAAATATTTGAACTCACAATATCCAGATACATAAAACTTTCAAAATTTGTATAAATGTTTTGAATGTTAAAAAATGTTATTATGTTAAGAATTTGAGTGAATTTCGCTGTTATTGTTTAACTTCTTCAGCTACTACTTTCATTCCGAATATAATGACACTTTTTAACAGGTTATGTTGCCAAAATGATATTATAGCTGTTAATATGCTTTATGATTAATAAAGTATTTTGATTGATAATAAGATATAGTAACAATTTATAACAGTTATCAATGATTGCTTTAAAAGGAGAAAGTCATACCGATTGTGACAAAGTCAAACGAACAGTTGTGGTCATTTTGGTAGCTTGTTTATGACTGAAACGCTGTTCTTACATATTGTCACACGCGCATGAACGCCCCATTCAAGGGAATTAACTACAGGATACAACTTACCTCCCTTGATTAATGTTGCTATGGAGAACGCCATCGGAAATACTTACCTCGCTTGAAGAACAGTAATTATCCGCTATGGCAAAGGTGGCGGCTGAGATTTTTGAACTGGTAAGAATACAGCTATGCAAATAGTGAATGTTTTATGTTTCTGGGAACTTTTATGTGGTTATTAATGTAAACAATAAAATACAGTTGACCTGTGAACCTGATAGTCTTGTTGTTGAAAGGGAATCTGATCGATAACTGAACAGTTAACACAATTTGTACAAGTTTCATTGTGTTTACTTTTAGCCACCTTTACCAGGACCCACGAGTGGTCGTTGGGTATGGCGGGATGGAGATGGAGGACGACCATCGTTGGAATTCATTAGGTGAGAAAACTATTCCACGAAATATGAGGGAATGGCAGAATGGTTCTGTGGTGTAGTGGTTATCACGTCTGCTTTACACGCAGAAGGTCGCGAGTTCGAACCTCGCCAGAACCTCTCTTTTTAGGCACCACTTGATTTTTTATAAATGATTGAAACAACATCACCCCTTCATCACCAGGGGTACCATTATTCCGATTTCTTTGTCTAATTTCTATAGGGGAGACAGGGTGCATTGGGACAAAATTTGTATTATCCAGTCTACATGTATACTCGGACCCCATGGTACCGCGGCATTCATCGTATCGTGGCATTTGTGATTTCCGGTAGTTCACGCGGGACACGCCTCTTAGCGGCTGTCTATTAATTCAAATCAGTAACCAGGAAGTGCTCACTTCGTAAACAATTTCAATTTCCTCGGAATGTTCCGTCTGCTGTAAGTTAGGAGTTATTAATCTGTTGATACATATTTCTGGCATCTGTTGTAATATTGCCTTACCCCCATCTATCAATGGCCAACGATATAACCCGCAGTTCCCTAAGTAAACTTTCTCTATCGACCTGAACTAGATCATCTGCATATTCATGGCGACGAATGAGGTAACGGAAGTTACGTAGTCCGCACATTTTTTCCCGCTCGGTGCCCAGAATCTTTTGGGAGATCATAAGGGCCATAATGCCAAACTTAAAAATACGTTCTTCACTAGTAACCAAAAGATAAATACATACTTTGGGCATACTAGGAGTGCCTTTTGTATATTTATTGTTGACTTTTAACATTTTTCCATTTTGTGACAAATTATTGTCATCCAATTTTTTTTAAACAATCTTAAAATATCATTTCTGATATTTTGATGTTGACTTATAAAAATATGTTTCTCTTACTTTTCGGTAAATATGCATTGAATACCTACTGCTGATAACACATTTAGAATTTTACTTGTGCTGTCTTTGCACTTTTCTGAACAAATCACTGATGTCTGGCATGATCATACCAAGTGGTTGGTAGAATTATGTCCTCTTTTTGTCCAATTCGGACCTCCATACACAACTTTTCTCTGTACCGCGATACGATGGAGTTCTCTACCTTGTCAAACAGAGCGCGAGGACCGGCTTTTACTCGGAGCTACTGATGTAAATAATGAACTTTTATCAGTAAAATATGCATTGTTTGATAACATGAATGATATCTGATACAGAGAACACAAATAAACATAAAGGTTAGTGAGTGCATTTTGTTCCGTTTAGCGTACATGACAAGTACCGCGATACCCCGAGGTTGCAGGCTACATCCCACATGAAATGGATTCATAAAGAAATAGACACATCTTCTAATCAACCCTTTAATAATGAATCACTGAACAAAAAAATTATTTCACAAACATGAAATTAACTGAAACACAGTGATTTAAAAAAAATAATTTTCGTCCCAATGCACCCCACGCTGGGGTGCATTGGGACACATACTGGGGTGGATTGGGACATTAACAAAGACATGTCAATAGCACTTTGAAATTTGGATAGATCTTGTCTGTATGTAACTAGTTATTTTTCAGGACTCTAACTTCACAAAGCAACAACTAATTAAATGTCAGAATATGACTATTTCTTTGACCGGAAGATATCTGTAGATCAGCTCAATAAGCTCCACTGGAAGGTCAAGGAGACCAGTCATTGAACCTACTAGAAAAATATCTTTCAATGATATTACAACAAAGTTCAAGAAACAAATCCAAAGCAAATGTCAAAGTAATTACATTTTGAATTCATAATAATGATTACATGCTGGTCATTTAGGGTCACATGTTTGGGGTGCATTGGGACATGTCCCAATGCACCCCGTGCAGGGTGTCCCAATGCGCCCTGACCCTATGCTTGCATTTTTTTAATGGCTGTATGACATAACCACATGACAAAATGACCTTCATCTCTTGGCAGAATACCTTTAAGATATCACTGTTTTGAATAAAACTCATACATCAACTGAAAGATGGAACACTTTGTCATGTAAAGCTTCAATAATAGGGGTCTCAATTTTACAATGAAGTGCAAAAATTACATTTAACTTACCAAACTTCTGTCAAAAGGTGCTGCTTCCACCCCTGCTACAAAAAGTGCTATGGTGTATGATGTCACTTCCTTTAGTGTAAATGATCATGTGATTGTACACCTATAAATAGCAGTTTTGGGGGGTGTCCCAATGCACCCCGTGTCCCAAAGCACCCCGGTCTCCCCTATGTAAAGTCCTATACTGGAGTATCTTCCCAGGACAATATCTGTCCAAGGCTGCAAGTTGGAAGTCCCGCTCTCAAGATTTGGGTACAATATGTCCGAATGGGAATTGTTTTACCAGTTTTTACCAGTCCTGGCAAAAATTATTTAGATTCACGTATAAAACAATCTGATCATGCATCCACTGAAGTTGATAGATGCTTTATCTTTACTCGAACATATAAAACGGAAGAAATGTGAACATTAGCTATACTTGTTATCTAACCATAGAAGTTCATTGTTAATGTCATTAAACAGACTAATCACGGGTCCGGGTAGTCGTGTGGGTACCCGGGTCCTACTCAGGACCCACCCAACCGGAGTACCCGAGTTAGCCGTCCCAGCCCTAGTATCTCTATCCCTAGGTATAAAGGTCACATGCATAACCTAAAATATACAAACATTTACAATGTTGAAATGAGTAGGCCTACCCTTATTATGGTGCTTGTAATGACAAATGGGAAGTTGTCTGCTTTCTCTAGATAGTACTTGTTCAACCTAATGAAACTCACATGTTTTTGTCAATAGATTTGAGCTTTCTAAATCGATTCAGTTTCATTTCTTTACCACCTTCATTTCAGAAATTTGGATTTACCAAAACAAAAATCATACAGAACACAAACATTCCTTCGATATACTCTCTTTAGGATGTAGATGCCATAGCAGCGATAGAAACTAACAGTTTTAGTCCACTAGACCTTATAATGATAACATATTAAAACCCTTAAAAATGACAAATTTCTACTAGTCCTTATGATACCTTAGCTATTAGGTAGTTTGGCAAGGACTTTTGGACAAGTGGCAATTTCTAACGCTGCATAGGGCTCGGAAACAACATAGTGTACATCTTGGTAAGATACATACGATTCAGTGCATATTGCTGTCAAGAAAAGGGGTGAAATCAGGGATCCAGGTAAGTGAGAAGAAATGCTATGTCAGGTGACTCTTAATGTTCATTTGTTCATGTGCTGCCCCTACTATATCACACATCAAACCCATGAACAAATCAGAAACCATTTTACCCAGAGTATCACATGACCTCTCTGTGGTTTATATAAATTGTCATGCGCCATAGATGGCAGGGCTAAGATGATTTTGTCTTTTAGTTTTTTTACAAGCATATATATATTTAGGAAGCAATGTTAATACCAGGATATCAACTTGTCATAAAGTATCTACAAAGATTTTGATATGATACAAGCACCAACCATGTTTTTATCTGTTTTCACAATTGAAAACATTTCTGCATCTTGAAATATTGTAACAATTGTTTTCCAGTAACAATGCTAATGCAGACAGACAGGACAAAAGAAGGAAAGCAAAAGAGCATGGCAGGGGTAGAGGAGACAGGTATGTATGTTACAGTGATTACATCACACAACAAAGTCGGGGGCACGGGTGGCCCAGTCGTCTAAGGCGCCGCGATTCGCGGTGCAGAGTTACGTCCCTTGGGCTTGCCAAAAACTTATGATTGTGGGTTTAAATCCCGGTTCACCCCTATTATGTTTCTAGTTTTGTCAGCACCATAACTGGCTCGTGGATTTCACCAAAGTGCTTTCCTCCCACAATAAGCTGACACGCCGTGATATAACTGGAATAATGTTAAAAGTAGCATTAAACTTAACTCACCCACTCACACACCAAAGTCAGTCCATGCTTTATTTCAGCTTTTACAGAACCACAAACCCTAAAAGAAGAAAAGTGGTAAATAAAACTACAAGATCCACAAGACTTCATCTACACAATGTATAGTTAACTGACTATATAAGTCCAGTTGATTATCAATCTGATTATCTTGACTGGGTGCTGCCATTTTGCAAGTGGTATGAACTTCTAGCACAGTTCAGCAAGGGTGGAAAGTTTACTTTTATAGCCAGTTAACTCCCTGCCTCAGGAAGTTGAGTGACATATTCAGATATTATTTTGGAAACTAAATAAAAATTGTTGTTAATATCAATTGTTTATTGTTTATTATTGCCAAACAAAGATTTTCACTAAACAATATGCTATCAAGAGAGTTAAAAAGTCTGGGCTGACCATGACATTGTTGGATTGCTGTTACTACATACTACTACATTGGCTAGTGAAACACATTTTATCAATCATTACACATAATATTAATTAAAAAAAGTATATATAATGAGATAGATCTTTAATGACAAATGGGAAGTTGCTTTCTCTGGATAGTACTTGTTCAACCTAATGAAACTCACATCTTTTCGTCGATAGATTTGAGCTTTCTAAATCGATTCAGCTTCATTTCTTTACCACCTTCATTTCAGAAATTTGGATTTACCAAAACAAAAATCATAAAGAACTCAAACATTCCTTTGATATACTCTCTTTTGGATGTAGATGCCATAGAAGCGATGGGAACTAACAGTTTTAGTCAACTGGACCTTATAATGATAACATATTTAAACCCTTAAAAAAGACAAATTTCCACTAGTCCTTATGATACCTTAACCATTGGGTAGTTTGGCAAGGACTTTTGGACTAGTGGCAATTTCTAACGCTGCATAGTGCTCGGAAACAATATAGAGTACATCTTCCTGAGTCAAGGGAATTAACTGAGTTAAAGTCCAGTTTCCACCCTCACCGAACTAGGCTGGAATGTCGGAGTTATATTTTGGCTGGACTAACAAGTCCTGCACAGTCCAATCAAAATTGTGTAACAAATCGACATCCGGTTTGTAAACCGTCATGCAGATATCGGTTGATTGCAGATCTTCATGCGGAGAGCTACCATATCGGAGTAAAATGTCTGATTTTGATGGGATTGGTACTAGTAAATATATACTGTCATACTGATGCTGTGTTGTGCTCATTATGACATGTTTATTGATTTGTGTACATGGTGGGTGTTGTAGAGTGGCATCCAGTGTGGCTCGAGGACAGGGTCTGGGGCGGGGCAGGGGGCAGGCTCGCCCCAACACCACCAAGTCTCCACATCCATCTAAGAAAGACACCACGGACAATCCGTACATCACTCTGGAGAATGTCAAAGGTTATTGTCTTTGTATAGGTTGCAATGACTGACAATGTCTGCTTCATGGCTTATTTTGGAGATAATCACTTCTGTTTTAATTACATTGTAAATATTACATTTAGTGGTGTTTAATCATCCATGAACCACTTCAAAATTTAAAACAGAATCTCCATTCTGCCATGACTAAAATGCATTACTCTTAAGCACTTAGGGACAGGTAATTTATTAGGGGAAGGGTCACTGAAACTAAGTGGGGTCATAACAAAATAACACTGGAAAAGATGTGGGTTGCCAAAATGTATCACAACTCAGTGCTTTTTGGGGAAAAAGTAACAGTTTGGATGTGAGATTTCGACAAAATATCATACAGTCCCAAGAAAAGTCTGAATGCCCCCTGTAATAATTGCCTTATTCAGTGCATTCACGTGCATTCACAATTGCTTATCGCTCATAACCACTCTAAGTTCAGTGAAAGTAACCAATCAAATTTGATCCTCTTCCAATGTCATGGTAGAATAAGGGTCTCCCTTTTGAGTGTTGGCCACATTTTGTGTGTTGAAGTTCTTACAGATATGCATCTTTTGGATACTAGTATGTTACTGATCTTGACAATGTTAGAAGATAAGAAGACAATACACACTTTTTTATGGAAGAAACTATTTGATGTTTATACTTGAAAGTTAATTTTAATTAGCTATCATGTTCATTGATATATATACTCACCTTTAGATGTGGAAGCCTTCTGGGGGGCAGGAACATCCTCATTATGAGTAATTTGTTGGAGGTATCATGGAATAGTTGAACTATAGTTTTTTACCCACCGGATTAGAAATAACTGAGTTCGTAAAAATCGTATGTGCATTTGTGCAAATATCACTTCTCGCACACCAGTGTATTGCTTCCATCATCCGGGCGGCATTGTTGACATCAGTTTAATCTCACTGTGACGTAAGGATGAATGACGTCACACTAGACGTCATAGCTGAACATTGTCAACGTCATTTGACAAATTGTGGTTTTCTAGGACAGCGGTGGTGATCAGTGCATTTTTTAAAAAAGGGAGCTCAAAAGGATTAAGGAATAATGAGCAATAATGAAGTTATTTTACTCACAGGTGTGTCATACTGATTTTACAAATCTCGTGTAAGGATTCATGTATTACCCTCACCTTCGCTTGGGAAATAACAGACTTCTGATACTTGTTTTGTAGAACCATTATGACACACATACTTGTATAATAATCTCGATGTGTGTGTTTTTAGAACTCTAAAGAAATGATAAAGTTTTATTTATACTTCTGGATTACCAACACTTCTTGTTAATTTTCACATTTTTCATCCATTACGTTTCTGTTATTATTGAATTAAAATTTGTACTTTGTGTTTTTCAGTTGTAGCATTTGAGAGAATGACGGAGGCAGATCAGTCTCTTGTTCCCGAGTCATTCGACAGTCTACGAGGGTAAGCACTGATACACTGTATCCATGAGATTTTCAGCAATTTGTTATTATTTGTAATAATACCAGGAAGTCTAAATTGTATTTCTCTTGTACAAAAAGGCCTGTGGCCTACAAGTACTGAATAAAGTTTAATTTGATTTTTGGGCATAAAGGAGCAATATCTAGATTCAAGCTTTTAGCTCACCTGGTTGAATCTGATTTGAATATGGCCACCATGCATATTTGCCATCCATACTTGCTATTACTTTTGTCCTCAGGCAGCCTTATTAGAATCAGATCATTAGCTCTTGCTACTGCTAAACAAAGATCTGAGAACATACAACTGCGGGTCATGTCAGAACGACCTTCCTCGAACATTTACAGACCAATAAAATGACTAACAAGAAGTAACAAAAACCAATCAGAAAGCAGCTATCTCGAGCTTTACAACACTTTTTTCAAACTGGCAACTTCCATTCCAGACTCGCACTTCGAAAAATGTTTTGACAAAGTTCTTGATTCCAAATTTCAAAACTGAGCAAAAGAAAATTCTGGAATGTCTAATAGATGGGATTGTCTGGCAGTACTTCCTATAGGCCAGGTATTGTTTCAAGGGGGATAAAAGATTTCATAGTATGGGCTGTTATAACTATGGAGATTTTACTTTCTATTTGTGAACACATAAACTAATGACCAATTGAACACATCAATAAATGAGGCTGGGTGTGTCCTGAATTAATCTAACATTCTTTGCATTCCTAAAATAATGTAATAGAATTTGCGTGAGTGAGTAGGGTTTTACACCACTTTTAGCAATATTCCAGCAATATCAAAGCGGGGAACCCGAGAAATGGGCTTCAAACATTGTACCCATGTGGTGAATAAAATCTGTGTCTTCGGTGTAATGAGCCTACATTTTAACCACCAGACTACCCCAGCACCCCTCTAATAGAATTTGATTGTGTAGATGTTATATTTTTCTAGTGGAATTTATGCAAAAAATACAATGGCCACAGAAAACGCTTGCTAATCTGACCTTTGATATGGTGTGTTATTGATCTTGATTGAGATTTAGTCTGAGTTTATGCAGTGTTGATAGAGAAAATGTTTTTCCTCAACATGGTTTTAGATACAGCTTAGTAAATATTTGTTATGTGAAGACAAAAAAGTGTCATTGTTTCTAGGACCAAGCAGTTTGACACTTTCCTCATGTATCTCCTGAGCTACTTCAACTGTTTCTTTGAGAAAATGAACCAAGAAAACAAGAAGAATCCCATGTATATGTAAGTACAAATATGTCTGATTACTTCCTTACTAAATATTTACTTAGTAGTTCTTGGTAATATTTCCTGTATGAATGAAGGGAGATAATCGTCCCAATTTACCATGCAGCAAACGGTTGCCCTTAAACTTTACTACTGCTACTGCTACAGCTACACTACTACCACATTACTGCAACTACTACTACTACTACTACTACTACTACTACTACAACTGCTACTACTACTACTACTACTACTACAACCCGTGAACATCCAGGGTAGAATAGGTCTTCCCTTTGTAGACTGTTTTTATACTGCGTGAGTCACCCTTGCATGATGCACGACGAATTCGTTCTCTGCCGCTGTTTCATGTGCGCCAAGCTCCGTTGCGAGCTTCTATTTACAATTCTATTCATAATTTTGTTGGATCCTAAACTAGTATTTATCAATCGCTTCCACATTGTCAATACATGCTGACGCGAATAATAGAGGAAATATAGAGCCCCGCACAAGATATATATATTACCTGATTTGTTTTTTCTCATCAAACATTTATCCTATTGCTATGAATATGAACATTTTTGTAGGTAACCTGTTATACCACAAAATATATACATATTATTTTGAGCTTTTAAGCATTATGCAAAATTATGAAAATATTCAATAGTTAATTTCACACCATACCTTCATGTAAAGCTGTAGCTGAGGTTGACGATTGCACGTCCTCCAATCAAACGATGCGGGTTTGAACCCCTTTGGTGACACGTTTTTGGAAAAAAATTGAAATAAATGTAAAAAATAGCTGTGTCTATTCCAAGTGGAAATTAATATAAATGTTTGTTCAAGATAATGTATAGTTGACAAACAACTGTCCATTCCTAAGAAATAATGGAGCGTTCAAACAAAAGAATGTCATCACAGATGTGTTTTAATGATATATAAAAAAACCTTATCCTTGGGATAAAATCTTCGGGCTGACGCTCATTGGTTTTATCCCGCGGATGTGGGTTTTAAATATCATAAAAACCGTCGGACTTGCTTTATCCTACACATAGATGATACTGTAATTAAGTATTGTAAAGATTTTTGAAAACAAAACACCTGAGCAGATGATATAGACTTATTTTGAGTCTGTCTACTTAGAATATGCCAGAAAGAAATATATCTGTGCTTGGAGTTGTTGTTTATGATGCTATTGACAGTAATATTTGCTTGTAGAGAGCCTAGCCTATCCGAGAAGATGGCGTACGCGGATGCCTGTGCGAGACTGGACGTTGCCCAGCGTCTGCTAGGACAGTCCTACTGTGTGCTGGTGTTGGGGCTCGGCCTGGAGGATCAGCATCACATGGGCTGTGGACAGTATGTAGTCCCCATAGTAGTATCATAGCATTCAGAAGACCAAACAAAATACTTGTGTTTTAGCAATTTGACTGTGACAGGTTTGAGCCAGTAGGTAGCTCAAACATGATTTCATTTTTGTTGTTGATACTTTTTGATCTGGTTTCTTAAGTATGTTTACAGATTTGATTAAATAGTCATGGTTGCAAATGAAAAGATTGATTTGTTATGTTATCAGAACTCATGTGTTCGTATTTTTGGCCTAATCTATATTTAGAAACAGCATTCTTATGTCAGAAGTTTTAATGGAAGCAATGACAAGAAAAAGTAAAAGAATATCAGACAGTTTTAAAGTGAAGTCATTTTCAGTAAGAGGGTGTTGGTGGCCCAGTCGTCTAAGGTGCTGCAATTCCCTGTGCAGAGTTATGTCCCCTAGGTGTGCCGAAAACCTATTATCATGGGTGTGAACCCTGATTATGTCTCAAGGTTTGTTGGACACCGAAAATCCGGGTTTGATACCCCACATTGGTACAATGTGTAAAGCCCATTTCTGGTGTTCCCTGCTGTGATATTGCTGGAATATCGCTAAACGCAGCGTAAAACCATACTCAATCACTCAATCACTGCTTGTTGGTTTTGCTGAGGTGGTAATCTTCTAAAACCTGCACCACTTTTGACATTTCTCCCAAATATAGCTGACACGATGAGATCTATATAACAGAAACACTGTTAAGAAAGTGTGAAAACATATTCACTCACTCACTCATTTTCAGTGAATGACTATGTTAAGACTTTCCTCCTACATCAAGCTGACACAACAAGACACATATATGGAGCTAAAATACAGTGTCAAGAAACAAACTCACACAATCAGTAATATGTCTTTATATCCCTATTCCCTATGACTAGTATGAATTTTCTATGACCCCCATGAAGACTTTAGGGAAGAATAGATCATTGTCACCTCATAATTATCATCAGAGCTAACACGAGGATCAAAATCGAAAGTGTGGTCTGGCTGTTTGTGTGTCAGTGTAATCAGATGGTGTGTGGATTCAATGACTGGTTTGTCTGGTCCGGACTTGATTAATGTACTTCTAACTGTGGCATAAAACATTATTCTCTCACCGTTATTAATCTATCAATACTGTATCATTTTTCTCTTTTAAGGTCTAGAGTTTCCTCCACGTATAAAGATCGCTCAATGTTTGAGGTGAGTTAATCAACTGTGAAACCTCACTTATATCAATATTAGTATTGTGTTGAGTGCACACAATTAAAAAGCATAGAATGTGTTTTACACTGACTGTTTTGAAAACATTATATAAATGTTGTTTTTATATCTTTTTCAGAGATTTTATGTATATTGTACATATATTGTTTGGATCACATTTCGGAGGAAAGAGTTTGCCATTGTCAAGAAAGAGATTGGAAGGTAATGCTTTGTCTTGTACAACGTCCCATATTAACTGTAAACATAAACAGCAATCTGTTGACAGGTGTTCTTGTGTACTTAATTCATAAACATACATGAATATATTGGGGGCATGGTGGCCCAGTCGTCTTTGATGCCGCAATTCGCTGTGCAGAGTTGCATCCCTTTAGCACGCCAGAAACCTATGATTGTGGTTTCGAATCAGTTATGCCTCAATTATGTTTGTGGGTTTGTCATCACCATACCCGTGCTTGTGGGTTTCACCGAAGTGGAAAACGTCTGAGACCTGCATCACTTCAGGCTTTCCTCTCGCATTAAGCTGACATGCTGTGTTATAACTGGAATACTGCGGTGTGAAACCAAACATACTCACTCGCTCACCCATTTATTTATTTAATATTTGTCGAAATGGTAAACCAGGTTTTAAAACTCTTGATAATGGAACGAAATGCCAGAGCACCCAACAAGATAGCTGTTGTAATAGAATCACCATAATGTTCATTTCAGAATGTTGCGATCTGACACGTTTAATCCAGCAATTCGAGTGAAGTATGCACCAGAAGGTGAGGATATTATTCAAGGAAATAGTCATTTGCATATCTGCGGAAGTGAGAAGAGAACAGGCAAAATGTTTAATCTAAAGGACGATACATGATAACAGCCTTTTCTGGCCTATGGTTATTTCCCATTTCAAATGTATGGAAACCTGTAAAGGTAGTAATAAACCTTTTAGTTTATATTATCTCCAAATTGAAATTTTAACATGACCATAAACAGATTTATGGCTAAAATGGGTGAACAAGGATTTTTTTTCATTTAAAAGTAGAAAATGAGCACACTTTAGCAAATCTGTGACCCACATCTCCTATAAAAAAATACTTTGGTCAAAGATTTGTTCATGCTGAAATATAAGAAAAATTCTGTCTTGAACATTCTGGGTCAGAATATAAAGGTCCCCAGTCATCAGACGATTAAACAGATGGTCATGATATCAGTCACTGGTTTGTCTGAGTCACAGCTTGAATACACAGCTGAGCTGAGTGTGTAACAACAAGCTATCATGAAAACCCCTACAGCAAATATGCAAGCATTGAAAAGTAAAAAGGGCTAGTTCAATTCATACAAGCTCTTTTTGTCATTGTTTATAAGTGCATTTTCTCTAATTTTCAACATCTTGGCCTTTGTTATACTTTTTGCTTTTAGTAGTGTAAAGGTTTTTGTTCTGACTTCTAAATGCCAATCAAAGACTTCAGTAAGTACTTTGGTTTAGACACTTGTGTGTAGGGAGTTGTGTGTATTCTGTGGCTTGTCACTGAACGTTACATCTCACATAACAGAGTCAAAGGAAGAACAGAAGCCAGACAAGGATGTGAAGGTGCAAGACAAAATACAGGAGAGGATAGAGGAGAAGAAGCTGACCCCAGCAGAGTATCGGCGCCTGCATCCGTGAGTTGGCTGAATCCTGTCTACTTGACAAATACTTATATAAATATACATTATCCCAAGCTTTCAGTCTCCTACCTTCATCACCATTGCTGTAAATGATTTGAGCAATAAACTGAAATGACGTCATAGCTTAATTCACTTACAGCAATGGTGGAACAATCATCTCCAGTAATATAGTGCTGAACTGAAAGTCTGGCTGATGAAGGCCGGGAGGCTGAAAGCTTGTAATTACATTTATTTATGTCTTTTTGAATTCCTCTAGTAGCATTGAACACAAAAGAAGATTTTATATTTGTAACTCACTGTGATTGTTGCATATGCATGACTTAAATCCATACAGACGGTAACTGTTTCAGTAATGACATTGTTTCGGTTTCTTACTTGAATATCATACAACTTCCTTGTCTCATTTTGTTTGGCTTTGTTTCAGGAGGAGACCTGCCATCAAATCAATCATTAAGTATGTGTCATGTTTTGTTGTATGTTGTAACATGAAGCGAAAATCAAAACAGTTCCTGTGTTTGAAATCCTTTGAAGTATAGATACAGACCAACTTAAAACATGTCTGGGACGTCATTCCATTCTTTGAGCTTCATTATTTTTAGGGAATGGAGATTTGATTGTGTTCTCTGCTGCTGTTCCATGTGCTCCATCACGAGCTGATCTTTGTGGCTCTGTAGAATGTTTGTCAAAGTGTAAGAGTTGAGATATGTAGGGGAGTATCCTTGTAACTCTCCATTCCCTAAAAATAACGGGCCTCTGCTCCATTATTTTTAAGGAATGGAGAGTTACTTGGACATTCCCCTCTGCATAATGCTTGGTATGGAGATTTATTTGAATGTGCCATCTGAGTTGCACTTAGACATCTGTAAATATGATTATATATGCAGAGAACAATGTTTACAGAGTTTATATCAGTTGTAGTATTGATGGTCATGTGATTACCTTTCAGTCAACGGTCCCCTGCTGTGATATCTATACTACCATCTCCCAAGGAGCAATCCCACTGGCTGTTTAAGAGAGCAAGGCCTGTCTCTCCCAAGTAGGGACATAAGCTTACTATGCATCAAAGTAGTATTTAAGGATGGCTCATTGAGATATACTTCCATACTGTGTTGACTATTTTTTAAACTTTAGTTGGCTGAATTTATGGCACACTTCTTAAGTTAAATATGCATCAAAGATCTATTTAAGGATGGCTCATATTTTTATGTACTTTGTTGACAATTATTTGCGACAAACAAAATAAGTAATCCTTGAAAAAAATATTGTGGCAGTACTGACACTGACCATCAAAGGTCAATGATCTCTTTGCAATGTTGTCCTTTGCCTTCAACACTAGATTTAACAGTTTTTTTAAGGACAGACAAATGTATTTCCTTGTGTTTTACCAGTATAAAAAATGTGAAAACAAACTTTTATTAATTTGAATTTTTGTTAAAATTTTTAGTTCCTTTTTATAAAGAAACTAAACCTCCAACCAACATGACAACAGTTTGTATGTATATTTTATATATTCTCCTTAAGCCACAGACTTAAGTTATTCTTGGATTTCATAGAATTTTCAGTCATAGTGTATTCAGTATTGCGATATATCTGTCACAGGGTAGAATGAACCTTGACATGCTTGCTACATGTAACATAAACAACATAAAGTAGATCCCGTAGATACCCATCACAATATTACCAACCCGTGAAGATCCGGTGTAGAATAGGTCTTCAGCAACCCATGCTTGCCGTGAAAGACGACTATGCTTGTTGTAAGAGGCGACTAACGGATGATGGTCAGGATTGCTGACTTGGTTGAAGCATGTCATCATATCCCAATTGTGTGGATCAATGCTCATGATGTCAATCACTGAATTGTCTGGTCCAGACTCGATTATTTACAGACCGCCGTCATATAGCAGGAATATTGTTGAGAGCAGTGTTAAACAATAATGAACGAACAAATACGTCCACAATACCACATGGATGTATATTTCCAGCTCACTTGGGCGGAGGGACCATGATGAAGAGGAGGAGGAGGAAGAGCAAGAAATGATACGGTCTCTGACCATCAACACAGTCAAGTTGAAGTAGGTTCTTTCACCAATCTGTTGGATACTCATTGATTCTGTTGCTTGTGGGCAGTGTTTACAGAAGGTGGTGTAGGAATATAACATTCACAGAACAGCTGAACAACACAGACTTGTATTTTAACCAGAACCAAGAGTTTAACAGAGTTGACATCTGACTACAGAATTTGATGTTATGGGATTAAAATATAGCTGCAACTTGTTCTTTGGAAATGGTTCTTTGAAACTTTTAGTGTGGTAAAATGTAGGGCTGTGTTTTGGGGAAAATATTTTGTATCGCAATGTATTCTATATAGATGTACAGATATACAAGTATCTGTTTTCTGATACTTATTGCGATATATTGGGCGCTAAAGTGTTTGACAGTGACTGACACTGATTGTACATGCAGAGCCTATTTTCTATAGTATACCCCGGTAGTCATTTGTAGTCATGGATACAGGGGAGATAATGTGAGAAAAAATGACTTCCATGTTTCAGTTTTTATGTCAATCAATTTAGAAGGGAAACATCAATTGCGAATGAATGTATGTGTAGATTTAAAAGATACAAAAATTATTGAAACTTTTTTAACCCAATATACCGGAACACAGAAAAAATATTGTAATACGTATTGTTTGAAAAGCTTATTAGGGTATCCAGGTGATAATGTGCAGCCCTCGTAAAATGACATTAACCATGTTTTAGAATTTAAAGTTTTTCTTCATTCATTGATTAATGTTTCAATTTGGTGATTGTCACTGATTGGCAACAAGATGATATATTTCCTAGTGATAGTAAGTAAAGCTATCTTTGTTAAAAATGGTTACAAATGGTGTTTAATGTTTAGCTTCTCAAACGTATTCCATTTCAGTGTATTCCAAATATGGTTGTTGGTATTGTTTGTGGTAACATTTCAGGATTGGAATCATTGGGGAAGCTTCCAGTGGATTCAACAAGGTGACGCTGATGCCTCTGGGTACCGAGAACGAGGAAGAGGAGGGGGAAGGGGGAGACGGACAACAGAAGGAGTATGTGGATTGATTATTGTAGCACACTCAGGATAAACTCACTTGGATGTCTGCGATAAATATTTCTAATATTATAATGTAAATAAAGCACTGTTGTTACTGTGAAGGGACCTGTGAAGATCCGGGGTAGAATAGGTCTTCAGCAACCCATGCTTGCCGTAAAAGGTGACTATGCTTGTCGTAAAAGGCGACTAACGGGATCGGGTGGTCAGGCTCACTGACTTGGTTGATGCATGTCACGATCCCAATTGCGTGGATCGATGCTCATGATATCAATCATTGGATTGTCTGGTCCAGACTCGATTATTTACAGACTGACGTCTTATAGCTGGAGTGCAGCGTTAAACAACAGACCAAAATCAAATTTAAAAAATGTAACTGTGAAAGATACTTTTGCAAATAATATCATTCTACATCTTATGTCTTTTTGATTTTTTTACAGAATGTCTGAAGATGCCAATGCAGACAAGAGCCAGACTGCAGGTCAGTTCCATGATGGTAGACAGATATACACACAGACTGTGACATACACATTGATAGATAGGTAGAGACACACACGGATTGACAAACATACATAGACAGAGAGACGACCAATCTAAAATCAGACCTCAGTTCTCGCTACCGCTAAACAAAGATCTGAGGACATCCCATTACGGGTCACGTCAGAATGACCTTTCATCCGACTAATCAGAGCATCGCTTACCAGATTATGAAAGTGACAGTCGGAATGTGATTTCTGATCATGCAGCCTTGAAAACTTTAACTCCAAACGATAGTTACGGGTTTAACGACTGTATCCATACAATCTAGACCATCTGTTAGTCATTCCAGAATATTCTTTTGTTCAGGTTTCAAAATTGTAATCGAGAATTTGTCAAAATATGTTTCGAAGCGTAGTCGCCAATTTGAAATTAGTGCCGTAAAGCACGTGAAAGCTGCCTTCTGATTGGTCATTCCATTGGTCGGTCAAAGTTCGCGCAAGGTCCGTCTGACATGACCCGTAATGGGATGTCCTCAGATCTTTGTTTAGCGGTAGCGAGAACTAAGATCTGATTTTAATGAGATTGAGAGATGACCTAAGTGGTTTAGTGGATAGAGCGTCTGCCCGGAGAACGGAAAGTTTGTGCTCGGCATTAAGTGCATAAAACAAGGGCTGGTCAGCTGGGAGTCAGTATACTGTGTCTGAGTGGGTATTCATGTTAAACTGCGGCATGGTGTCTCACTGTGCTAGCACTATAAAAGCGGTGTTAGTCTGGACTAGTACAAGCAGCTACAGACAGATGGACGGACGGACATGTTGCAATATAGGTGCAATAATCTGGAATGCAATTATAAATACAGAATCTCACCTGAGTGACTTTTGATATCAAATATATCAACGAGTGTTGATATATTTGATATCAAAAGACACGAGGGTGAGATTTTATTTATCATCCAACATCATTCTTCCAACTTTTTCAGTTTGTAGACAGTAATAAGCAGTGTCTTAAGTGTAAAAAGTACTGCTAACAGCTCAGTAGAAGTCATGGTAACAATGACGCCACAATGGTCTGAAAAGCATTGTAATGCAATTTCATTACAGCGATATCTACAATGTAGATATGGCTTGTTCTCACCCAAGCGATATCTTCAGTGGCTCAGGGAGATATTGCTTGGGTTTTGAATGATAAAACCCATTACACTTTACCTCACAGTAACTACCAACTGGTGTTATATTTCAGATCGAGGCATGAGTCGACAGCAAACGTCTGTTTCTCATGTGACAACTGAAGTCAATGATGATGATTAGATCTGATGCACCACCAACATCCAGAGCATCATCTGCTCAAAGAAGTAAAACTGGGTCACTATTGTATGTTGTGTGTGAGGTTACACAAGTTCAGGACAAGTGAGGGCAGACGTCAGAAGAGCCAGGACAACAAGGCAGCTGCCATGTGGGCATGTTTGATGATGGTGATAGAGGTGACACTGTCCATTGATCTCAGATGAAGACTGTCATCATATATGGGTCATTTTCACCATTATCCACCAAATATCAATACTGAATATACAATGACTAATGGAGTAAATCTTTGTCTTTAGTATCAATATTGAGTGATCTACTCGTGGAGAAGTGATACACTGGTTATAGTGGGATTTAGAACCTTGCTACCGTATTGGAAGTAATAAGCGCCTATGGCACTTATAAAATTGACAAGGGTGGGATCACTTGTTTAACATCATACTCAAAGAATCAAGTCTGTTTTCAGAGATTGAGCGGTAGTGAACAAACTTAATTCAAAACTAAAACTTTTTCGATAATAGGTACAAGGCAATTTGATATACTCCTTCTGTGCTGCTCGTTTCTGTAAAAAATTGAATATACACAAGAAAATATTGACTGTTATGTAAATCTTCGGACCATGTATAAAGATTACTTTCAAAATGGTCTAGAAGTTGGTCAGGGTATTCTTATTAGAGCAGGGCGGTTATTACAGCGAATGTGGTACAGAGCTCCAGATAAGCTTTTGGTGTTGTGGGTATTTTACCCATGCATTTCAAAATCATTGGGTATCAGTAATTCTGTCTGGGTATTCAAATTTCTGTTACCCACTAGTTTTTACACATGTGGGTTTTTATATTAAATATTTAAAAACACCATTCATGTAGTCCCTGCAAACTGGTGTCGTGTGGGTTCGAGAGCTTTATAGGACTCAAAAATACCACGATACTTCCACAAGAAAGTGTGATGGCAAATGATCATGATGTAACTGTCATCGTTGACTTTGGCAAGGTTTTTTTGGCTTTATTTTTGTAGCGCATCGGTAATGTTCGTTGCGTATTTGATACACTTGGATTTTATTTTACTGCGTATTTCTGTATTTCTGATGCGTATTTTACGCAGATACGCAGCTTATCTGGAGCTCTGGCGGTATATTCAATTGTCCAACTGGGTAGATTGACGCCATATGTACATGAATGATGAATAAAGTCATAGAATCTTTTTATTTCTCTGTAACGGGACGTAATGACAAGTATGCACATTTGCACAAGTTCTCAGTGAAATTGTTGTCTGTGATATTTTACAATTTTGTTGTTGATTCATACCTCTGTTCAGGATATTTATTGTACAGTATCATTAAAACAAGTCAAATATTTCAGTTGAAAATAGCTTTGTGTCTTTGTCATGACCATGTTAAAGTGTGTTTGCTATTGTAGTGTATTGAAAAATGTGTACTATGGAAATAAAACTATTTTGGTTTCATTTAACTAGTTCTGGTGTTAACTGTTAGGTATGCAAAGTAGATTAATCAGTACCACCCAGGGGTATGGGAACAAGTATTCAAGGAAATTATTTGTAGTTACTCTCACTGGGCATTATAACTTGTGCTTAATGCTGATGGCTAGTTAGTTTCAATTGATTCCTTGCTTTTATTGTTTGTTAAGTGACACATTGCATGACATTAACGGGTATATGGATTCAGTTATTTTTTTTTGAAGAAGTCATCACCCTAAACTTTTATGTTACATCATCCCAAAAAGAAAATAAAGACGATATCTCCAACTGATATAAGGAAACACATTTTGACATATTTCCCCAGAAAATAGTCTATGGGTAATATATAGAGGGTATTATATGAGTGTTCATGTCATACTATGTTTATGACACGAGTGTCCTAAACATAGTAGGGGCACAGGTGGCCCAGTCGTCTAAGGCGTCTAAGGCGCCATGATTCGCTGTGCAGAGTTGAATCCCTTGGGCATGCCAGAAACCTATGATTGTGGGTTTGAATCCTGGTTGCCCCAATTATGTTTCTAGGTTTGTCAGCACCAGACCCGTGCTCGTGGGTTTCACTGAAGTGGTAAATGACTGAGACCTGCATCACTTCAGGCTTTCCTCCCACATTAACCTGACAGGCGTGCTATAACTGGAATACTGTTAAAAGCAGCGTTAAACCCATCTCACTCACTCATACACCCTAAACATAGTATGACATGAACACAAACATAATGGGTTTTTTTCATTTCCGAAGATGTCTTCATTCAGAGACGAATTTTAGTGTTTACCTATAAGGACAGCAAGTTGCAACAGCAGCGGAACCACAATTTGTCAAATCACATCAACAATATTCAGCTATGATGTCGTTTCTAGTGTAATTTCATTCCCACCTCACAATAACATTCGAATGACGTCAACAATGCCGTCCGGATGACGGAAACAATACACTGTTGTCTGGTGACATGATATGACCCTAGGGCACATGATTTTTTTTTATGAACCGGCTGTTTGCCAAAGTCGGTAATAAGAAAACTTAAAGAAAACCTACTCGCAACTTAATGTGGAAAAGTTACAAAATTAATTTCACTCAGTATCCATTTGTTATACTGGGACATTTAATCTTGATGGGCTTAAACAATAAAACCGTCATTTGTCCGGACGAGTACAAGCATACACACAGGTGAGGTGAGGTAAAAATGGGGTTTAACGTCGCGTCCAAGATAATTGCACTTATATAGCGACGTGCATGCACGTGTGTGTGTGGCTGCTTGTACTAGTCCGGACTGATGCCGATTTATAGTGCTAGCACACTGAGATACCATGCCGCAGTTTAACATGAAAACCCCACTCAGACACAGTATACTGACTCCGAGCCGACCAGTCCTTGTTTTAGCCCTTTAATGCCGAGCGCCAGACAGGGTAACAACAAGTACCATCTTTTAACGTCTTTTGGTATGACGCGGCCTGGGATCGAACCCCGTACCTTCCGCTCTCCGGACGGACGCTCTACCACTAGACCACGGAGGCGGTCCATACACACAGACACACACGCACACACACACACGTACGTGCATGCACGTGGCTTTATTTAAGAAATACACGACGAGGGGGAGTTGTTTATGGTACAATAAAACACTGCAGAGAGATTTGGTTGGTTGGTTTGTTGTTTTACGCCGCACTCAGAAATATTCCAGCTATATGACGGCGGTCTGTAAATAATCGAGTCTAGACCAGACAATCCAGTGATTGATATCATTAGCATCGATCCACGCAATTGGGATCGATGACATGCTTTGAACAACCAAGTCAGCGCGTCTGACCACCTGATCCCGCATATTCTCAAAATCCTCACGTCGATTAACTGTACCTTTTCTCCCAATACCGATTGCCATATCTCTCCCATATTCGGAAGCCCAGCTACATCTATAGGGAACAACTCACTGGACACCTCCTTCTCAATATAACGTCGTCCAATATACGACGTCATCAAGTTGCAAGCGCATGTGCGACTCTCCAGATATGACGCCATGATAGAACAATGTTTTATCGTGAAATAAACACGCTTCGTTCTTCATTGTTCTTGACGATTTATCACGTAGCTATGTTATATAGGGGAATAATTTTGAAGGCGACAGATTATGAGATAATCCATTATTCCTGGTAACAAGTTAGTTATTTTGTATGTTATCCGGTCCATGTTCTGCCAGACCATCAAATATTTCATGGTCTCTGGTTCTACTAACTGTAAAACAGACGACAGTGATCTGACTGATTGTTAACACGTTAACTTGGGTGAATACTTATCTTGAAAAATATCCCTTTTCTCTTATTTTTACATTTGAAATGATTTGGTATGAGGACTTAAAAAAAATGTATCCATTTTTTGTTCAGTTGTATAAATATTTGAGGAAGTATAATTTTAGCTGAATTTTCTCTGGAACTGCTAACTGTAGAGTAACAAATACACTTCCAAATAGAATTCCGGGCCTTGAAATACTTAATAAGGGAAATGTGAAGGCACATGGAGATTTATGAACCGGATGTGTTTTCGTAACGTAAATATATGAGGATGCCAACCTCCTCCTCCCCCGACTATCTAACGTCCGGTAACGTCCGGTAGCGTCCGGGAGATTTCATCAGACGTCCGGGAGTGAAATAATGCAGTGTAGTCCGTCATATTGACTTTTCCTGGTGGATTTCTCCTCCATTACCAAAGAATCCCATTGTCCAGGTTTTCAGTTTCTGCGATATTCCATGGTTTAGCGAATTATTATTCTCCGTCAGCAATTTCAGATTATAATGTCACATTCATCTTAAAATGAAGTATTTATGTACTTGTATCACTGCTCACCCCTGAATCCCGAACACTGCTTAACACAAATCTCAAAAGTATTGAGAAAAGGGTGCGAAGTCTTTTAAGTAAACCATTCGTTTGTGTATAATGTTGAATCTGCATACCAAATACAATTTTATTTGCGTCCCGCGTACCGAGAGGAGTCCCAGATCTAATTAGACCCCCGAATCCCGCGCTTCAAAAGGGGACTAGCAGCCTCATACATGTTCATAAGGAATAAAAATTGTGTATACTATTTTGCGAGCCTTTACTCCTATTGTATGATATTTACGATACGGTAACACACGAGGCAAATAATCTTTTGTCATATAATGCCATGCAAAAAAATTATTGAAGTTTAAGTCATATTGCTATTCACTATAGTAACTTTGGAAACCGCGTAAAAAATATTCTGAGTCTGAGTGAACCGCCCCATTTATGATATAGTGCCATATGATTTGCAGGCGTGTTTGTTTAAATAAGCACTCACAAATCAGAAAAGCAATCATTAATGTTTTACGGAACATTATAAGAAATTTTTGGAGTAAGGAAACACCAAATCGATGTACAAAGCCTACTACAAGTAGTTCCTACTTGGTGACCTCATTTACCGTTTATCGGACCATGATACCACATTTATCGGATTGGTTTATCGCATCGAGAACACTATGCATTATAAGATACATACTGTTTGTCTCCTGGCTGTAAGCATCTAGTGTATCAATGGTACCTTCACAATGCAGTTTCGGAAATAGTGGTGGCACCTGGATGGTAGCATCAGGTCCCTGTGACCAGATACATCTGTTCCACGAGGAGACCTTGACCAAGTCTATTTGTACAGTGAAGATCGAAATTTGGGTTATGATAAATTGGACCAGGATGAGGTGTGCCTTTAAGCACTAAGTAGTCCTTGAACTTGGTGGTTAATAGTTTCTTGGACGGGTATTTTGTGTTGCTTTTGTGATCGTATTATTCTTTAAAAATCATTACCCTGATTCAGATACATCACCTTCAAAGGTCCTCCTCTTCTTCTTCTTCTTCATGCTTTTCTTGTTTCTTTGAGATTAAATGATGTACAGAATTGCCAAAGTGGTGATGATCTTTGTTGAAAATTGAAACTTTCGCAAACAGATCTTAAAACTTTAATTATGAGGAAATCAAACGTAAAGACAGCTATGCCAATAATGGCCACCTGTGTACCCAGTACCCATGACACGATGTCGATGTAAACTTATGTTTACCACATTCAGAAAACATATGTATATATATTGACCCCAAACACACTTAAAATAAAGATCTGGTAATAAAAACACAAACAAAAAGATTAAAATAGGTTTTTAGATTACTTTAAAAGTCCTAAGTAGTGACGGGTATTGGCCTGAATCTTTTATTGCAATTTATACGATAATGTTTACGATACATACCACAATATATTGCATGCGTTCTATTTCTGTAATTTGTTATGAACCTGAATAAACAAACGTCCCCCAGATGTTTTTGATTACTTTTTGTTTCTTAGTTTCCGTTTGAGTTGTCACTGGTGTAAATCTCCCAACAAGATTATATGCAGGTATTTTCCAAACATATTGTGGTACGTATTCATTGGTATTTCATATTGTGGTATACCGGTATATCGGTAATATCGCGCACCTCTAGTCCTACGTAGTATACTGGTAATTAATGATTGAGATGAAGGATTACTTTGAGTACGTATCCATATTCTCATATTAGGTACAACGTCTATAAGTAACAGAAAAAGCTTATATATTCTGTAGTTTTTTTCAAACATAATATCATTTAGTTGTTTTCGCTTATAAATCTCCCAGGTATGACACCAATTTGGTTTGTGATGATAAGTGTATATTAAGTGTCATTTGTTATTCTGTTTGCTACACATGTACTCGAAAATCTGTACAGTCAACGTAAGAGACATATTTGACCGATAAAAGTGCCATTTCAAAATGTTTCAGATAAATATCTATGTACCCATATTCCGAAAACCTGTCAGAAAAAATGAAACACCCAACTGGAAGTCTGTACGTGTTAGCGTTGATCAGCTGCGAACACACTGGTGCAGGCATATTGTATTGTATTGATAACTCTATTTTTAACAATTGCGACAATACAACGAAGACGAATGTGTGCTTTGCCGGGTTACTATACCTGTGACGTACCATTTTATCAATTAGGAGAAGGGAGATGAGTGGATCGTCCATCAGTTATAATTGACCAAAGCATCGAGGCTGTTCCAGTGTTGTCACAAGGCTCTGTGGGTTAACGAGTACACAGATCACATATACAACTCAATATATAACATGGTTAATGAGATTATTCACACTCATTTATTCTGTACTTAGATATGTTCTCAGTGTTACATCGCCTCCGTGGTCTAGTGGTAGAGCGTCTGCCCGGAGAGCAGATGGTCCGGGGTTCGATCCCCGGCCGCGTCACACCAAAAGACGTTGATAGATGGTATTTGTTGTTACCCTGTCTGGCTCTCGGCATTAAGGGGCTAAAACAAGGACTGGTCGGCTCGGAGTCAGTATACTGTGTCTGAGTGGGGTATTCATGTTAAACTGCGGCATGGTATCACGATATGCTAGCACTATAAATCGGCATCAGTCCGGACTAGTACAAGCAGCCACACACACACACACACACACACACACACACACACACACACAGAGGTATGCACGTCGTTATATAAGTACAATAATCTTAGACGCGACGTTAAACTCAATTTCACCTCACAAGTCATTGGGAATTACGAATACGTCTAGTTTTTTAGACGCCACAATTCGCTGTTCAGATTTGTGATGTGCCAGAAGCCTTGTGGGTTCGAATCCAAGGTTGTTCCTAATTATCAAAACCGTTCCCATACTCGTCTGTTTTAGAATGTGATTTGTGGTTTTCTCCCACATTAAGCTGACATTCCACCACATAACAGTATATATGTAACTGTAAATGTCTATAATCAGGCGGGGGCACGGGTAGCCCAGTCGTCTAAGGTGCCGCGATTGGCTGTGCAGAGTTGCGTCCCTTGGGCACGCCAGAAACCTATGATTGTGGGTTCGAATCCCGGTTCGCCCCGATTATGTTTCTAGGTTTGTCAGCACCATACCCGTGCTCGAGGGTTTCACCGAAGTGGTAAACGTCCGAGACCTGCATCAGTTCGGGCTTTCCTCCCACATTAAGCTGACACGCCGTGATATAACTGGAATACTGTTAAAAGCTGCGTAAAACCCATCTCACTCACACACTCACGATGATCAGGCAATATGTACAGAGACTGAAAATTGATAAATTAATATTGATGAAATATTGTTGGTTTCCCCACATTGGCAGACAAAGACCTGCACCACTTCGGTCTGTTTTCCCACTTTTAGCTTGTGCTGGTCCGGACTAATGCCTGTTTCATAGTGCTGGCCTACTGAGACGTCATGGACATTAACATGGATACTCCACTCGGATACAGTATACTGACTCTGACTCCAAATTAATTCTTTTAACGGCGACTTTTGGTACGACCCGGCCAGGGATCAACCCCCGACCTTCCGTTCTCCGAGCAGACGCTCCATCAGCTAGACCACGTAGGCTGTCGCTACTGTAAGATATTTGTATAGACGCAATTTCGATCTGATACTGATTCAAAGAGTTTACTAAGTACAGTAGCAAGACTACCATCGAAGCAGGGAACAGTCCTGAAAATATTGTCATAAAAGCCTTGAATAATGTCATTTAGAAGATGTCATCGATCTGTTCATTTATATAAATTGTATCGATCCATGTATCCATAAAGTGTTTGTATCGAGTTGGCATCGAGGTAAATTATGAAATCCGATGGAATGGCTGTATTGTCGTTGCTCGAGAGGAGTCACTGCGTTATTCTGCATATCTTTGGGAGACAGTGGTGCAACTTTGGGATAGTCGTGTCTGGAGGATCAGGCGTTAGGATATTGAGAGATGGCGTTTAACGTAATGTTGCAACGATCGTTGTAGGGATGTGCCGTTTCAACAGCGTGGCGTTCCAGACATATAACTATTTAACTTTGTGTATTGTGGAGTTTCAGGGGTATGACGATTTAACACTGTGATACCGTGGTGTTTCAGAGATTTGACGTTTCAACACTGTTGAACTGTGGGTTTTCATTGATGTGGCGCTTTAACGCTGTGACACTGTCGTGTTTCAGTGGTATGGCGCTTTAATGCTGTGGAACTGTGTCAGTGCGGCGTTTTGAGTTGGATGCTACAATGGCACATCAAGCGATGTGGATCTTCATTGGTCTGTATCTGTGTGTCTACTTCTGTGCAGGGATATTCGGACACACTTGTGACAAAGGTAAAACACGCACGCATAGGGCTGGGTCGAAATTAACTACCCGGGTAACAACCCCCGCCCCCGCCTCTCTCTCTCTCCCCCCCCCCCCCCCCCCCACACACACACACCTATTACCCGACCGGCCCGGGTACGTTGTAGGTCTCAAGAGTAAGGTCCAAATGTCCGACTGGGTTTGTTTGACCGTAGCCCTGGCAAAATGTATTTAGATACACGTCATGCATAAACTGAAGTTGACTGAAGTTTTATCTTTATTCATACATATAAAGTCAGAAGGAATGTGTGCATAGTCAAAAAAGAAATGCAAACATTAGTCACATATCGTGTAACCGTTGAGTTCTAGATAATCTTTTGTAATTAAAAACTACATCACGTGACTAGCCACGGGTCCGTGAAGTCCTGCGGGAACCCGGGTCCTACTCAGTACCCACCCGACCCGAGTACCCGAGTTACCCGTCCCAGCCCTACGCACGCACACGCCCATATCCGATAACATGTGTGAAAAATGTGTTCATACAATGCATACTCGCAAGTTTGTTTGTGTTTTGGTTTCTTTGTTGTTTAACGCCGCACTCAGCAATATTCCAGCTATATGACAGCGGTCTGTAAATAATCGAGTCTGGACCAGACAATCCATGCACTTGGGATACGATGACATGCATCAACCAAGTCAGCGAGCCTGACCACCCGATCCCGTTAATTGCCTCTGACAGCAAGCATCATCGCATTTTACGGCAATCATGGGTTGCTGAAGACCTATTCTACCTCGGATCTTCACGGGTCTACTCGCAAGTACACCTATCATCACTATTTGAGAGTAATTCATAAACACATGCCTATGATACAGTGGAAATCGTACAATCGTACAAGAGCTTTCTTGTGAATACGCGTTTATTTACGTCGGAACATGTTCAAAATGAAGCCACAGTGGCTACACACTTTACACCCGAATATGTTTAACATGAAACCATAGTGGCAACACACTTTATACATGAACATGTTTAACATGAAACCATAGTGGCAACACACTTTACACACGAACATGTTTAACATGATACCATAGTGGCAACACACTTTATACACGAACATGTTTAACATGAAACCATAGTGGCAACACACTTTACACCCGAATATGTTGAACATGTAGAAGGGAATGTCCGAGTAACTCTCCATTCCTTAAAAATAATGGAGCAGAGGCCCATTATTTTTAAGGAATGGAGAGTTACGAGGATATTCCCCTACTCAAAACTCTTCCCTTCTTTTACACTTTGACAAAATATTCTGTAGTTGAAAATATTTGAAAAATTCAAATGCTGCTTCAAGATAATGTACAGTTGACAAGCATCTCCATTCCTGAAAAAATAATGGAGCGTTCAAACAATAGAATGACGTCACAGATGTGTTTTAAGATACCATAGTGGCAACACAGTTTACACCCGAATATGTTGAACATGAAACCATAGTGGCAACACACTTTACATCCGAACATGTTTAACATGAAACCATAGTGGCAACACACTTTACATCCGACTAGTTCAACATAAAACCATAGTGGCAACACACCTTGCACACGAACATTTTTAACATGAAACCATAGGGCCAACACACTTTACATCCGACTAGTTCAACATGAAACCATAGTGGCAACACACTTTACACCCGAATATGTTTAACATGAAACCATAGTGGCAACACACTTTACATCCGTACATGTTTAACATGAAACCATAGTGGCAACACACTTTACATCCAAACATGTTTATCATGAAACCATAGTCGCTACACACTTTACACCCGAATATGTTGAACATGAAACCATAGTGGCAACACCCTTTTCATCCGAACATGTTCAACATAAAACCATAGTGGCAACACACCTTGCACACGAACATTTTTAACATGAAACCATAGGGCCAACACACTTTACATCCGACTAGTTCAACATGAAACCATAGTGGCAACACACTTTACACCCGAATATGTTAAACATGAAACCATAGTGGCAACACACTTTACATCCGACTAGTTCAACATGAAACCATAGTGGCAACACACTTTACACCTGAATATGTTAAACATGAAACCATAGTGGCAACACACTTTACATCCGACTAGTTCAACATAAAACCATAGTGGCAACACACTTTATACACGAACATATTCAACATGAAACCATTATAGTAGGAACACACTTTACATCCGACAAGTTCAACATGAAACCATGGTGGCTACACACTTAACTTACGAATGGGTTTTACATGAACCATAGTGGCAACAGACTCGCCCCTGAATATGTTTAGCATGAAACCATAGTGGCAACACACTTTACACCTGAATCTATTTAACATGAAACCATAGTGGCAACACACTTTACATCCGACTCGTTCAACATGAAACCATAGTGGCAACACACTTTACATCCGAACATGTTTAATATGAAACCATAGTGGCAACACACTTTACATCCGACTAGTTCAACGTGAAACCATAGTGGCAACACACTTTACATCCGTACAAGTTTAACATGAAACCATAGTCGCAACACACTTTACATCCGACTAGTTCAACATGAAACCATAGTGGCAACACACTTTACACCCGAACATGTTTAACATGAAACCATAGTGGCAACACACTTTACATCCGACTAGTTCAACATGAAACCATAGTGGCAACACACTTTACATCCGAACATTTTTAACATGAAACCATAGTGGCAACACACTTTACATCCGACTAGTTCAACATGAAACCATAGTGGCAACACACTTTACATCCGTACAAGTTTGACATGAAACCATAGTGGCAACACACTTTACATCCGACTAGTTCAACATGTAACCATAGTGGCAACACACTTTACACCCGAACATGTTTTACATGAAACCATAGTAGCAACACACTTTACAGACGAAAATGTTTAACATGAAACCATAGTGGCAACACACTTTACACCCGAACATGTTTAACATGAAACCATAGTGGCAACACACTTTACATCCGACTAGTTCAACATGAAACCATAGTGGCAACACACTTTACATCCGTACAAGTTTGACATGAAACCATAGTGGCAACACACTTCACATCCGACTAGTTCAACATGAAACCACAGTGGCTACACACTTTACACCCGAATATGTTTAACATGAAACCATAGTGGCAACACACTTTATACATGAACATGTTTAACATGAAACCATAGTGGCAACACACTTTACACACGAACATGTTTAACATGATACCATAGTGGCAACACACTTTATACACGAACATGTTTAACATGAAACCATAGTGGCAACACACTTTACACCCGAATATGTTGAACATGTAGAAGGGAATGTCCGAGTAACTCTCCATTCCTTAAAAATAATGGAGCAGAGGCCCATTATTTTTAAGGAATGGAGAGTTACGAGGATATTCCCCTACTCAAAACTCTTCCCTTCTTTTACACTTTGACAAAATATTCTGTAGTTGAAAATATTTGAAAAATTCAAATGCTGCTTCAAGATAATGTACAGTTGACAAGCATCTCCATTCCTGAAAAAATAATGGAGCGTTCAAACAATAGAATGACGTCACAGATGTGTTTTAAGATACCATAGTGGCAACACAGTTTACACCCGAATATGTTGAACATGAAACCATAGTGGCAACACACTTTACATCCGAACATGTTTAACATGAAACCATAGTGGCAACACACTTTACATCCGACTAGTTCAACATAAAACCATAGTGGCAACACACCTTGCACACGAACATTTTTAACATGAAACCATAGGGCCAACACACTTTACATCCGACTAGTTCAACATGAAACCATAGTGGCAACACACTTTACACCCGAATATGTTTAACATGAAACCATAGTGGCAACACACTTTACATCCGTACATGTTTAACATGAAACCATAGTGGCAACACACTTTACATCCAAACATGTTTATCATGAAACCATAGTCGCTACACACTTTACACCCGAATATGTTGAACATGAAACCATAGTGGCAACACACTTTACACCCGAATATGTTAAACATGAAACCATAGTGGCAACACACTTTACATCCGACTAGTTCAACATAAAACCATAGTGGCAACACACTTTATACACGAACATATTCAAAATGAAACCATTATAGTAGGAACACACTTTACATCCGACAAGTTCAACATGAAACCATGGTGGCTACACACTTAACTTACGAATGGGTTTTACATGAACCATAGTGGCAACAGACTCGCCCCTGAATATGTTTAGCATGAAACCATAGTGGCAACACACTTTACACCTGAATCTATTTAACATGAAACCATAGTGGCAACACACTTTACATCCGACTCGTTCAACATGAAACCATAGTGGCAACACACTTTACATCCGAACATGTTTAATATGAAACCATAGTGGCAACACACTTTACATCCGACTAGTTCAACGTGAAACCATAGTGGCAACACACTTTACATCCGTACAAGTTTAACATGAAACCATAGTCGCAACACACTTTACATCCGACTAGTTCAACATGAAACCATAGTGGCAACACACTTTACACACGAACATGTTTAACATGAAACCATAGTGGCAACACACTTTACATCCGACTAGTTCAACATGAAACCATAGTGGCAACACACTTTACATCCGAACATTTTTAACATGAAACCATAGTGGCAACACACTTTACATCCGACTAGTTCAACATGAAACCATAGTGGCAACACACTTTACATCCGTACAAGTTTGACATGAAACCATAGTCGCAACACACTTTACATCCGACTAGTTCAACATGTAACCATAGTGGCAACACACTTTACACCCGAACATGTTTAACATGAAACCATAGTAGCAACACACTTTACAGACGAAAATGTTTAACATGAAACCATAGTGGCAACACACTTTACACCCGAACATGTTTAACATGAAACCATAGTGGCAACACACTTTACATCCGACTAGTTCAACATGAAACCATAGCGGCAACACACTTTACACCCGAACATGTTTAACATGAAACCATAGTAGCAACACACTTTACAGACGAAAATGTTTAACATGAAACCATAGTGGCAACACACTTTACACCCGAACATGTTTAACATGAAACCATAGTGGCAACACACTTTACATCCGACTAGTTCAACATGAAACCATAGCGGCAACACACTTTACATCCGAACATGTTTAACATGAAACCATAGTGGCAACACACTTTACATCCGACTAGTTCAACATGAAACCATAGTGGCAACACACTTTACATCCGTACAAGTTTGACATGAAACCATAGTGGCAACACACTTCACATCCGACTAGTTCAACATGAAACCACAGTGGCAACACACTTTACACCCGAACATGTTTAACATGAAACCATAGTAGCAACACACTTTACAGACGAAAATGTTTAACATGAAACCATAGTGGCAACACACTTTACATCCGAATATGTTTAACATGAAACCATAGTGGCAACACATTGGGTGCATTTTCCCGAGGCCGAGACTATAAAAGTCTAGTTTCTATCCTTGCCGAACTAGGCTGGAATTACGTGGCTCGATCGTAGCACCAGCAGTTGCTACCACGAGTTACGTCACTTAATTTCCCCTCCTACTGACCAATCAGATTCCATCTCTCAATTAACTTGCATTGGCTTCAAACAAAATGGTGGCGCCCAGTCAAAATGATCTATTTGTTGTAATAAAACAGGTCTTACATCGCAAAGTGCATCAAACCACTTGAGCACCTTGATCAAAAACCTTGACAGATTTGGACAATGTCTGTCGAAGCTCAGTTGACGGTACACGCGTTCTGCCAATTCTGTTATCTTCCGAAATCTGCACTGAAGTTTAGGAACCGAAGGCCGATTTCGTTACGCAATTTTGATTTGATTATGCATAGACTCGTTAGTCCAGCCAAAATGCATCTCCCTTATCCAAGCCTATTTCGGCATGGGTGGAAACAAGACTTTTATAGTCAGTCAACGCCCTTGCCTCGGGAAGATGCATTGCGTGCTGAATCTCATCATATGTCATTGGTCTATCACCACTAACAGGTGGGTTTCACCAAGGTCGTGGACGATCTGTATGAGAGAGATAGTGACAGATTATACCGCCACAATAACCCGTTCCTTCACTCCTCCCCTTTCTGTCCTGTTTGTGTCTTAGGTGTCAACCACGGTGACCTCATATCCAGCTGCATGACGTACAATAGCCTAAACTCTCGACAGTCGGCAGTGGGCGACACACAACGCCTGCTGATGAGTGCAGTTGATCGGATACTCGCTGAGCTTGACTGGACTGCTATCACTGTCATATTTGATGATGAAACAGGTAAGGACTTACAATACGAGAAGCGACTTTCCTGCTTGATTTAGTAAATGGAAAGTATCTTCAATATGGTGGCAATAGAATCTTAAATAATGTCATATGGACCAAACGGCAAAACACACATTTGACTTTGACAATTATATAACATTGGTTTCAATTTGATAATAATCTGGATGAGGGAATATTTACCATCCTCATATATAAGAGCTGATGCTGTCAAGAAAACAAGTTAAATATTAGAAGGACCAGACAAACCAGTGATGTGAGCAACGATTCACGCCATCACGGCGCGATGATGGGGTTGGGTTGGGAGTTGGGGATGAGTTGGGTGTGGTGTGGTGGGTAGTAGGGATGAGTTGGGTGGGATGGGGTGGTAATGGGGTTGGGTTGTGGTCTCGGGACTTTATCACATTTTGCATACCCAGCTCCACATTTTATGTAACAGTTCTTCATGCCCACATTCTTCCTATGATAAATGACCAGTCCCTAATCAACCAAGTCACTGAACCTGACCAACTTATGCTCTCTATATTACTCATACGACATACATTAGCTCCTGGGCCCAGCTTACCAAAGCGTTCATAGCTCTACGACTACTTTAAGTCAAAGTTAAAGTATGGTAGTAACTATAATCGAAACGCTGCGATCGCTTTGTGAAGCGAAGCCCAAAGGGGCCCTGGGAATGTGGGGGTGACATCTGTGTCATGTGGTATTACTGTTGCTTTTCATGTCAGATGTACTCTTCTTGTAACAGAAATATTTGTACGAAGCCTGTCTGAGGCGCTAGAGGATACCCGGGTCACTGAGTGCAGGTTGCTGCATGTGCCCGACAGTCTCCATGGCAACAACAGTCGTCATTTCCGGTCAAAGCTTCTGGAGTTTTATGTTGAGGATACCTCCCACTATAAACCCTTCCTAGTTGTTTGTCGGGGTGACTGTGCAGTGGCAGTGATGGAAATTGTAAGTATAATTAATTTGATGTCTTAAAAGTATAGTATGCAATACCCTCTTAGATAACCTGCTTCCAAAACGTGGACACCGTGATAGAGTAATCTATTCATTATATGCCATTCAGAAGCTGTTGTCCCGGGTGTATTTTGTGAGGTTTGGCATCTGTGCACTTTCTTCATATATCTCTGTGTATGAATACTTCCTGTGTATTTATCCCCTCGATGTGTCCTGAGTCTTTTCACTTCGTTTGCTTTTTGTCAGTCTCATTTAAATAATATATTTAACTTCAGTACGATATAACAAATATATTATATTTGGGATTCTAGGATATTTAGGTGAGGTGAGGTGAAATCAGGTTTAGCATCGAGTTCAAGATTATTACACTTATATAGCGACGTGCAAGTACGTGAGTGTGTGTGTGTGTTTTGTTTGTTTGATATCATGCCGCAGTTTAACATGAATACCCCACTAAGACTCCGAACCGACCAGTCCTTGTTTTAGCCCCATAATACCGAGCGCCAGGCAGGGTAACAACAAGTACCATCTTTTAACGCCTATTGGCATGACGCGGCCGATGTTCAAAGCCCCGACCTTCTGCTCTCCGGGCAGACGGTCTACCACTAGACCACGGAGCCGGTCTTTCATGATTTCATTGTCTATACAATACGATACCTCCCTGTGTCACGATCGGAGGACATCAATAGATAGAATGTCGTATTTCTATGTTAAGTACTGGGGCCCTATCAATCTCATTAAAATCAGATCTTAGTTCTCGCTACCGCTAAACAAAGATCTGAGGACATCCCATTAGGGGGCACGTCAGAACGACCTTTCATCCGACCAATCAGAGCGTCGCTTACCAGATCATGAAAGTGTCAGTTGGAATGTGATTTCTAATCATGCAACCTCGAAAGCTTTAACACGGGGTATCCCGAACGATAGTTACGGGCTTAACGACTGAATCCATACAATCTAGACCATATATTAGCCATTCCAGAATGTTCTTTTGTTCATGTTTAAATTTTTTAATCGAGAATTTGCCAAAATATGTTTCGAAGCGTAGTCGCCAATTTGAAATTAATGCCCTAAAGCACGAGAAATCTGCCTTCTGATTGGCTAATGTCGACTTCTTGTCAGCCTTTCCTATGGTCGCCCTAAGTTCGCGCAAGGTCGGTCTGACGTGACCCGTAATGTGATGTCCTCAGATCTTTGTTTAGCAGTAGCGAGAACTAAGATCTGATTATAATGTCATTGGGGCCCTATGGAAATCATCTTCCCGAGGCAAGCGTGTCCACTACTTTCTACCCTTGTCACATGAAGGCCTATTTTCTTGGCTCGACCGTGGCGCCACCTCGCGTAGATCACGATGTGATCCTTGTAATGAAAACGCGATATCCAATCAGATCGCTGTTCTCATCCCGTATAGCTTCACAAAGATGGCTACTACGTAGCGGGGAATGTCCGAGTAACTCTCCATTCCTCAAAAATAATGGAGCAGAGGCCCCGCAGGGGCCGAGGCCCATTATTTTTAAGGAATGGAGAGTTACGAGGAGATTCCCCTACTTAAAAATCATCCCTACTTTTACACTTTGACCAAATATTCTGTAGTTGAAAATATTTGAAAAATTAAATTGCTGCTTCAAGATAATGTACAGTTGACAAGCAGCTCTCCATTCCTGAAAAATAATGGAGCGTTCAAACAATAGAATAACGTCACAGATGTGTTTTAACATAGGCCACGACCTAGTTGATCTGATAACGAAAACATTCGCAATTTCATACCTGACACCAAAAACATAGGCAATCGTTAGGGGTTTAAAAGATGAAAATGACATATTCGTGTTAACAAAGATCGGCAGCGGTGAATGACTTTCATACGAAGGTGTACCGGTCGTGGATGTTGATTGATTGGACTATCGATATGTGCTTCCTCGGGAAGATGTATGGAAATATGCATCGTATGTTGCACTGGAAGGCATGCACTCATGGCCCAATCTGCATACTTCCAGGCAAATTCTATGGACGATTTATCAATAAAACGAACATACATGCGTCATCATTCGCGATGGCTACTGGTGATGTCAGACAACGTCACTTCCGCTGTTGCCAAAGCTGCAAGTCATCTAGATCACGTGACTTGTATACTGGTACCATTTGAACTGAACCCGGTGCAAAGGACAAACGTCACAATTACGGTACGTGTGCAATGTGTTCAACTTCAGAGTGGAATAGCATATTGTTGTAGTTTAAATAGAAAGGTTATTATAGAGTACAATAAGGGACTGGTAATTTATTATAGTGCGCGCGTAGGAGGTTGGGGTTGGGTTTGGGGTTGGGGGTGCAGATGAGTTTGGTGAGGTGGGTTGGTAATGGGGTGGGGTGGTGGTCTCACGACTGTATCACATTTTGCATACCCAGCTCCCCATATTATGTAACAGTTCTTCATGCCCTCCTTCTTCCTATGATAAATGACCAGTCCCTAATTAATGTATAAATTTAAGAAAAGCCCAACTCTATGTTACTTGAATGAAGCGTCACTTATCTTTCCTTTTTCTTATTTTTCGACTTTAAACGACTTTTACGTTTATAAATAATAACTGATTTATCTGATTCACTCAAGTGCCTGACGGTTAATTTTTTAATTTTTTTTTTTTTTGGGGGGGGGGGGGTTGTGGATAGATTGATCCTATTCAGAGTAAAACAACTCATTCAAGTCAAACCATATACACTTTTAAAAGCGTAAGGTGAGTCAAATTCAATTTAAAAAAATTAACGTAAAAATGTCCATAAAAACTGCTAAGCGTAAATTGAAACTTTACTATTTTTTTTATCGTAATCATGCACAAATCTCTTAAAAGTCGAATAAGCATATAACTAGACCTATCGATACCAAGAAACCAGTCAGTGTTTGGTATTTGCAAAAAAACGAATTGCAACGAAACGAAAGCGGGACCAGTCGTACCAATATTCAACTGACAAATGACTTGTAACACCCCAATCAAGACCCTCTTGTTATGGCGGTGACGGATATGCGGTTAAATTGGACTATGTTTGGGTAAAATGCCAGTTCTACCCCCATTGTAAATGTTACAGTGTACAATATATCAATCTGGCAGTTAATGATTACTATTGTTATACCTCCGTTAAGAATTTTGCAATTCCATTGGTTGATCCGCAACACGTGACGAAACAATACATTTCAATGTAGACCCCGAAATCATGTGACTGACACGAACCTCGAATATTGACACGTCACATGGTCAGTATTGACCTGTCACGTGATGAATATTGACCCGTCTGCTAGAAAACAAGATGGCGTCTGGTACGAATATTTCACGGTTCGCAGCTAAGTTACTGCAATGAAACAGAGGGTGGTTTAAAGACTTCATAAACTTTTAAGTGAATTTCGGTATAACAAAACGAATGCTCACTATTAACGAGGTAAATGTGCGAAAACAGGGACCATCTGTACGGTCAAACCACCTTAGGGGTCAGGTCCTTTTCGCATATGGACCTCGTCCAGAGCAATTATTTGTATATAATTACACACGTGCAGTTTCTCAGTTTCACACAAGACACTAAGATCAAGATAGAACTAGGCACCAGATCGCGGAGCGTCTCCCCCTTGAAAATTATGAAATAGAACGTCTTTATTCAGTAGACTGAGTGGCATGACACCTAGTCATAGACAGAGCTCAAGATACGCTTTTGGTGTTGTGGGTATTTCAAAATCATTGGGTATCAGTAATTCTATCTGGGTATTCAAATTTCTGTTACCCACTAGTTTTTACACATGTGGGTATTTAAGTTAAATATTTAAAAACACTTCATCTAGTCCCTGCCAACTGTTGTCGAGTGGGTTCGAGAGCTTTATAGGACTCAAAAATACCGCGATACTTCCACAAGAAAGTGTGATGGCAAATGATCATGATGTAACTGTCATCGTTGAGTTTGGCAAGGTTGACGGAATGTCCGTATATAATTTCAAAATAAGTTTGATTTCCTAATCGAATACGCAGGGTTACTTCACAATATTTTGATGATACGCACTAGTTTTATTTTTGTAGCGTATCTGTAATGTTCGTTGCGTATTTGATACGCTTGAATTTTATTTCACTGCGTATTTCTGCATTTCTGATGCGTATTTCACGCAGATACGCATAGAGTACAGCGATGCGGCATTACAGGAGAGGTGTCATGTTGTTATTGTATGGAAAGGAAATTGTCACAGTGGGAAAGGTTGCTCCAATTAGAGAAGTGTAAGTTGATTTGAACGCCGTTATAAACAGTTTTCCAGTTATATCGCGGCGTGTTAGCTTAATGTGGGAGTTAAGCCAGAAGCGGTGCAGGTCTGAGGCGTTTGCCGATTTGATGAAACCTACGAGCACGGTGCGAACCTGGATTCGAACCAAAATCATCGGTTTCTGGCGTGCGAAAGGGACGCAACTCTGCACAGCGAACTGCGGCGCCTAGACGCCTGGCCACCCGTGCTCCCTTTTATGAAGTGGAGTGACACACTGTTATAGAGTGGGAGAGAATGTCTTTGTGTGGAAGAGAATGTCGTCATGTGGAAGAGAATGTCGTCATGTGGAAAGACAAGGCGTTGGTAAGAGCGACAAGTCGGACTAGACGCAGTAATAGTGATACTACTTCTGGGGTGGATATACACTGTGAAGAACACAATCCTGTTTCAACAAAAAAATTGTTTCTTTTTCAGACATCATTTTGCGATATTCCACTATTGTCGCTGTTATGGTTACCAGGGCGACGCGATTGGAGTTTTGTTGGAAGTATTGTTGGCAACAAGTTCCTGGGGGAAGTGTTCCCAAATATTCGGCTGGGGTTCAACCAGAGAGAGTTCATCGTCACAACCAGGGCGGTGAGTCTGAGTACTCAGATAAATATTTGTCTACGTGTATCATGGAAGAAGCTACATAGATTATATTCGTAAATTGTTTGACTCAATATCACAATCAATGTCTAAACTTGTTTTGTTTGTTTGTTGTTTTACGCCGCATTCAGCAATATTCCGGCTATATAACGGCTGTCTGTAAATAATCGAGTCTGGACCAGACAATCCAGTGATTGACATCATGAGCATCGATCCACGCAATTGGGATACGATGACATGCATCAGCCAAGTCAGCGATCCTGCCCACCCAATCCAGTTGGTCGCTTTTTACGACATGCATAGTCGCCTTTTACGGCAAGCATGGGTTGCTGAAAACATATTCTATCCCGGATCTTCACGGGTCCAGTAAGTGTGTAACGTAACTGAATTCACCTGATTCAATAAGTAACACTACACACTGTATGAAGATGCCGACCAGAATCGAGGGCGGTATGAACTGATGGACACTATGAGCTATAGGGACGGATCCAGGATTGAAAACAAAAACCCGGGTGCGGTTCGGTGCGGTGCGGTTCGGTGCGGTGGGGTGGGGTGGGGTGGGGTGCGTTGCGGTGCGGTGCGGTGCGAGGTGGGGTGGGGTGCGAGGTGGGGTGGGGTGGGGTTGGATGGGGTGGGGTGCGGTGCAGTGCGGTGTGGTGTGGTGTGGTGTGGTGTGGTGTGGTGCGGTGCGGTGCGGTGCGGTGCGGTGCGGTGCGGTGCGAGGTGGGGTGGGGTGTGGTGCGGTGCGGTGCGGTGTGGTGTGGTGTGTGGTGTGGGGTGTGGTGAGGTGGGGTGGGGGTGGTGAGGTGGGATGGGGTGGTGTGGGGTGTGGTGTAGTGTGGTGTGGTGTGGTGTGGTGTGTGGTGTGTGGTGTGGTGTGGGGTGTGGTGAGGTGGGGTGGGGGATGGTTGTGCGTTCCACTTGGGTCATTTTTTATTTCGAGGTGGGGTGGGGTGCGAGATGGGGTGGGGTGGGGTTGGGTGGGGTGGGGTGGGGTGCGGTGCGGTGCGGTGCGGTGCGGTGCGGTGCGGTGTGGTGTGGTGAGGTGGGGTGGGGGGTGGTTGTGCGTTCCACTTGGGTCATTTGTTATTTCAGAAGGGGAGGTCCAACCAAAAGCTTTACCAAAAAATCCCAAACACTGGAAGTAAACTATTATTAACTTTACTTCAACAACACTATCAACGTACTATCGTGGTAGGCAATACACATACAAGACATCAGGTGTAAAATCCCCCCTGGATCCTCAACTGAAGCTAACCTCTGTAGCCAGGGCCGAGGGGCGGGGTGGCAACGAGTTTATCTTTAATACCGGCATAATTTTCGCCCGTTTACCTTGACAGACAACAGACGACGTAAACACACCCTAGCATTACATTCGGATGTGCTCGGTAATGTTCGCTAAATTGCATTTGCTAGGTGTTCATTTTTGAGATAATATAATTATATCACTGTATTAGCATATATGCATTTGTAAGAAATTCGGCATTGCCCATAGGGGTATTTGAAACTCGTACGTAACCTTATCTGTTAGCGGGGCACATGGGAACCAGTTGTTCAGTTTGTAACCAATCAGGAACGACTATCTTAATGCAAGGTATTAAGATACCGATGCACTTGACAAATTGACTGTTTCTGCTAGTAAGTAAAACCTCATACGTCAGGCAATTTGTATTGCGATTGAGTAAATGTTTAGTCGTTTTACAACTGTATGAAGTAGTACATTCTCGTATATTCGTGACGCTGAGTGATTATTCAAGAATTGCTCAGTCCAAAATATTCCTCGTCGCTGTCAAACTTATCTTTGTATTTTATGTGCGGTTCGGAGTCCCATATTCATACAAACCCATAATATATAAATTAATGTACTTCTTGGATGGACGATGTTTTGATATTTAAATCATTTTCTGTTTTCACAGTGGCCCGGATTTGTCTTCAAATCCGTTTCTGGAACGAACATAACCTATTCTGGATTTTGCATAGATTTGCTGAATGATCTATCCGAGAGGCTTAATTTCACGTAAGTCATTGAAAGCAAAACTGAATTGGAATGTATGTTAGTTAAAGGCCGCTCTCAGCAATATTCCGGCTATATGACGGCGGTATGTAAATAATCGAGTCTGGACCAGACAATCCAGTGATTGCATTAATGGGCATCGATCTACGCATTTGGAATACGATGACATGCATCAACCAAGTCAGATAGCCTGACCACCCGATCCCGTCTCTTACGACAAGCATGGGTTTATGGAGACCAATTCTGTCCCTGACGGAATATGTGTATATGCATGTTGTTGGTAGCCTGCTGCCTAAATCACTTGTATTGGTAATATGTATCTGTTAAGTTACATTTTACACTTATGATGTGATATGCAACTTCGACGTCTCAAGAATGGTCAGTACGACGACTGGGACAACATGCACCGCCACCACAAGTACAAACAAAGACCATTGCTGCCACTACACTGCACGTAGTCTCTGGGATCAGTTACTAGTAGTGTCGTCAGTAATGATAGCGACACAAACAACATTATACTGGCATAGCCACAGTACTGACACACCAGCAAACGTACCTACACACCGTACACACACATATCGTACTGACGCAACCACCGTACAAACACACCCGTCATGGTACTGACGCCGCAACCGTACGAACACACCAGTCATCGTACAAAGACACCCGTCATCGTACTGACGCAGCCACCGTACGAACACACCAGTCATCGTACGAATACACCAGTCATCGTACTGACGCAGCCACCGTACGAACACACCAGTCATCGTACTGACGTAGCCACCGTACGAACACATCAGTCATCGTACGAACACACCAGTCATCGTACTGACGCAGCCACCGTACGAACGCACCAGTCATCATCCTGACGTAGCCACCGTACGAACACATCCGTCACCGTACGAACACACCAGTCATCGAACTAACGCATCCGTCATCGTACTGGCGTAGCCACCGTACGAACACACCTGTCATCGCCCTGACGCAGCCACCGTACGAACGAACTAGCCACCGTACGAACACACCAGTCATCATCCTGACGTAGCCACCGTACGAACACATCAGTCACCGTACGAACACACCAGTCGTCGTACTGACGCAGCCACCGTACAAACACATCAGTCGTCATCCTGACGTAGCCACCGTACGAACACATCCGTCACCGTAGGAACACACTAGTTATCGAACGAACGCATCCGTCATCGTACTGACGTACCCACCGTACGAACACACCAGTCTTCGTACGAACACACCAGTCATCGTACGAACACACATGTCATCGTGCTCATACACGTGCCATGATAATGACAAACCAACTACCGTACTCACATACATGTACCAGTCATTGTACTGACAAACCATCTGACGTACGGACACACAAGCCACCGTACTGACACACCAGCTACTGTACGAACACACTTGTTATGTAGCAGTGGCATTGTTACAGATACCGACTAACAGAGCCAGTCGACGCCACGTTTGGGCGTGAGAAGAACGGCAGATGGACGGGCCTTGTTGGGCAGCTAGTACGACGGGTAAATACCACCAGTGTGTGTTTGTATGCACTGCAACTATCCGGTAGTTCCAAGCAAATATAGTTAACATGTTCTCTGCTTTTTCACTTTAGGTCACGGCCAAGAAAAAAATGTTTGATTATACAACATATCTTATGCAAAATATTGATTGAGGTCACTTTCTAGGCACAATAATATTTGGAAATATCACCAAATGTGATCAAATTACAATGCTATTATATAATGTGCATGGACAATATGCTTTATCTGTCATATGAGTTAGGTTGATTTTTTTTATTGAAAACAAATATATTTAAAAATTATTTTGGTCAGTCAAATGGTCAGCCCGATTTTGTGAATATCGAAAAAATAATACATATGTTCATAAATAAGAACATTCAACTGATTATAGTTATACAACGGTATCGTGAAAAGTATTCTTAAATAATAAAAAAAATAACCCCGATTATCCAGTATTTTATATCTTCATGTTATTAAAATAAATACCCTGGACTCGTTCGCCACCAAACCTTTGGTTTGGATCCGCTTTGAATGATACGACACTAAAAATAGACGTCCAATCAAATTAAGTGTTCTTTCAAGGTTTCAAGCGACGATATCAACAGAACTCAACTTGACTTTTGCGAGCCGTCACAGATCCAACCTGAACGTCCTGTAGCGTATGGACTTCCTCTCCTGTCTTAGAACTCAGAAAATCCATTTCTTTTGTAACAATCTCCCGATTCGATTGATATAATCGAAGGCTCGATCGGACGAGGCGGCCGATGTAACTTCTTAGAAAAGTCGTTTTGATTGGTTGTTGATCTGTGTAACAGAGATGGAGGTGCTGATGTCACTTCCGTTACGACGATATGGTAGCGAAGGGGTCCAGGGTATGTATAATTTAGAATGGCTAATCGAGGATCAAAGAAAAGACACTTTAAATATTTCCAGGAAGTAGATTTTGCCAGCACGGGTTTGTCGTTTACCGTTGGCCGCGAGGCAGTGATCGACTACGTCTCCACCCCACTCAATTACGACTACAAGGACATCGTGTACCGGAAGATGGGGTCAGACGAGGGGAAGTGGCGCCTACTGCTTGACGTGTACAGCCCCCTGGTACTGCTGGTAGGCCTTGCAACATACCTCATCGTCAGCCTCCTACTGTTCGGTCTCCTGGCAGCGCCACCCTTCAAGACCATCATACACAGCACCACGTTCTCTTTACTCCAGGAATCATTCTGGTACATGCTCGGAGCCATATTTCATAAAGGTAATACCAGTTCTCTCTGATATAATTTGCTTGATAACGGTGTTAGAATCTACACCGAAACGTCGCCCAATTGTAATAAAGAAGTTGCTCATCCATAACAATTTTGTCTTAGTTAAGGTAATACCACGTGGGAATTCCGGGATGGGTAGATTCTAGTAAGAGCGGACTAAAGTGAGGTCATAAGAGGCGACTAACGGGATTGGGTGGTCAGGCTTGCTGACTTGGTTGATACATGTCATCGTATTCCAGTTGTGTAGATCGATGCCCGTGATGTCAATCACTGGATTGTCTGGTCCAGACTCAATCACTTACAGACCGCCGTCATATAGCTGGAATATTGCTGAATGCGGCGGTCCACACGAAATAATGAGGACCAGGTGGGTATTTTGTTTGTTTGTTTGTTGTTTAACGCCGCGCTCAGCAATGTTCCAGCTAATGACGGCGGTCTGTAAGTAATTGTTAACGCAAAATACGTTAAAAGATGGTACTTGTTGTTACCCTGCCTGGCGCTTGGCATTAAGAGGTTAAAACAAGGACTGGTCGGCTCGGAGTCAGTATACTGTATCTGAGTGGGGTAATCATGTTAACTGTGGCATAGTATCTCGTTGAACTATCACTAGGAAATCGGCATTAGTCCGGACAAGTAGAAGCAGACGCAAGCACGCACACACGACGTAAAACCCCATTTCACTTCACCTCACATCTAATGACCTTGCACTTTTGCAGGCGGTTCCAGCCTTCCTGTGTCCTTGTCTGGGCGGATACTGGTGGCCACGTGGTGGCTATTCAGCATCATCTTCGCGTCTGTGTACAGCGCTAACCTTATAGCCGTGTTCGCTGTGCCCAAGCCGGAGAAACCCTTCACGTCACTGAAGGAGCTGCTAGGCAGTCCGGACTACACCTGGGGCCTCATCGGCGGGGGATCCACGGAGGGGTTTATCTCGGTTAGTGTCCCCCCTCTGCTGCGTAAAAAATCGAGTCTGGACCAGACAATCCAGTGATCATCAGGAGCATCAATCTTCGCAGTTGAGATACGATGACATGCATCAACCAAGTCAGCGAGCATGACCACCTGATCCCGTTAGTCGCCTTTTACGACAAGCATAGTCGCCTCTTACGGCATGGGTTGTTGAAGACCTATTCTGACCCGGATCTTCACGGGTCAGATACAACAAGAGGGTGGGGAAGAGGGTGGGGTTGCAGTCCGTAGGCGTGCCATCATCCCATGGTCGTTGGTTGGATCCCAGATGCGCCATGTTGATGATCAGTGAGTCTTCAGCACCATACCCGTGCTCGTAGTTTTCACCGTGTTAAACGTTTTAGACCTGCATCACGGGCATTCCTGAAGCTGACACGCCGTGATATAACCGAAATACCGTTAAACTCACTCACCACGTTACCTAAGATGCTCTACCTATTCGTTGTCCTGGGCATTTGACATCGTGGATCTTTCTTAGTAAGTGAATATAGTGAACTTGTTGGCATGGGAGAGTTTACTAAACCAGTTAGTAGATATTTGCTAATTAGACTAGTATAGGGTATAGGTGGCCTATCGTAGACGAGTCTAATTTACTAATCAATTAGTAGAGATTACTATCCAGCTTTCAAAGATTCTTCTCATAATGTACTTACTGCAGTAGTATATTTACTAAGCTTGTAAATACTACTACACTTTGATAAAGGCTCGTTTCTTGGTCATTTTGCGATCCTTGTTGACAGCTGGTGAATACAGTTTGCAAATAACAAGTAAATAACATAACAATACAGGTGAAACATAACATATAATGATTTTCGGTTTCATTCTATGTTTATTTATACAATACTACGAAAAAATTATTGACAGGTACATAAAATATACAAATATTGTTTTACACTTGCAAACGTAACAAACACACCTTCATTGAGTACATGCTATAAAGTCCTAAATTGTGTCAGTTAGAAAAACATACACGAACAACGTTACAAGGCCAATATATACCAAACACTCTGACGATTAACTATTATCTTTTTGTCTCAAAATGGCGACACAACGTCTTCACAGGAATGTATGAAGTTGACTTCAACTTTTCAATAGTTAACTTTCCCTTTATGTCGAGCAATATTCCAGCAGCTCCGGCCTTTGGTGTCTGCATGTCACAACTTTTGAGGTACAGTCGAGCATGCTCTTTCTACGAAGATTTAAAAGAGCGTCATGTTACTCTTGCTCAGAAGTTGTTTGATCATCGTCACAACATTCAAGGCCTCGGCAAACCTTACAAAAAGTTTAATGGTTGACATGTGGAGGACATTTCCAAATTTGATGCACCATTGAATAAGTGGTGTCTGATGCAGTTCCTAATTTTGACATACTTCAAATGTTCCCGAGTTTTTTCAGGTGAACATTTGATTTGCCTTTGCATGTGTTTGTGATGGGTTCCACCGATGGGGCAGAATACACTCACCTTTTCGCGAACACCTGTTAGCATCACTATATGATACTGACTCATAAACACATGCTTATGATGTAGTGGGAATAATTAAGAGAACTTGACACTGATTATGATTATGGAAAAGATTTTTGTCTCTTTTATTTTTTCCTCTAATACAATCGGACATTTGATCATATTATATATAAGTATATAAATATATCAAGACACTATATAAATTTAAAATTGGAGTTATGCGTTTCTAATTAATATTAGCTTGGCTTTGGCGTAAAGACGTACACTCATAGTATGATAGTCCTGCACCATGACCGTGGAATATATTTTTATTTTATGAAAAAATAATAATCTAGAAATGCACACAAAAGCAAGTCTAGCCAGCTCAAGCTAGCTCTATTCCACAGAAATCAGCATAGGGATTTTTTAATATTTTTAGAGTCAAGAAGGATATTGTGTAATATGAAATTTCAGAGACTAAATGTTAGTCTAATAGTATGATAGCAGTCGCTAATATGAATTGTTCTCCAGACATCCATGGACCCAGATATCCAGGCTTTCTGGCGCAGCATCGTCAGGTTCAACGAGACGGACAGCTCTGTTCTGAACGGAGACACGTACCTGCATTTTGAGAAGGTGCTGAGGGGGCGGTACGCGGTGTTGTACGGGCACGAGCGGCTGAGCAAGGAGGTGGCCTGTCAAGTGGAATACCTGGGGGCTAAACTGACCGTCTACTCTAAAGGGCTGGCTTTGCCCGAAGGGTCACCACTGAAGGTGGACCTGGACAATATGTAAGACTTTCTGCATGAATAAAGACATTGGGTCTGACAGTTTGAGTAAAGACATTGGGTTTGACTGTTTGAGTAAAGACATTGGGTTTGGCTGTTTGAGTAAAGACATTGGGTATGACTGTTTGAGTAAAGACATTGGGTATGACTGTTTGAGTAAAGACATTGGGTTTGGCGGTTTGAGTAAAGACATTGGGTTTGACTGTTTGAGTAAAGACATTGGGTTTGGCTGTTTGAGTAAAGACATTGGGTTTGGCGGTTTGAGTAAAGACATTGGGTTTGGCTGTTTGAGTAATTACATTGGACCTTATATGACTGTTTGAGTACAGACAATGCGTGTGGCTGTTTGAGTAAAGACATTGCGTGTGGCGGTTTGAGTAAAGACAATGCGTGTGGCGGTTTGAGTAAAGACATTGGGTTTGGCTGTTTGAGTAAAGACAATGCGTGTGGCGGTTTGAGTAAAGACATTGGGTTTGGCTGTTTGAGTAAAGACATTGGGTTTGACTGTTTGAGTACAGACAATGCGTGTGGCTGTTTAAGTAAAGGCATTGGGTTTTTCTGTTTGAGTAATTACATTGGACCTTTTATGACTGTTTGAGTAAAGACATTTGGCCCGACTGTTTGAGTAAAGACATTGGGTTTGGCGGTTTGAGTAAAGACATTGGGTATGACTGTTTGAGTAAAGACATTGGGTTTGACTGTTTGAGTAAAGACATTGGGTTTGGCTGTTTGAGTAATTACATTGGACTTATTATGACTGTTTGAGTACAGACAATGCGTGTGGCTGTTTAAGTAAAGACATTTGGTTTGACTGTTTAAGTAGATACACTGGGTCTGACTGTTTCAGTAAAGACACTGGGTCTGACTGTTTGAGTAAAGACATTTGGCCCGACTGTTTGAGTAAAGACAATGAGTGTGGCTATTTGAGTAAAGATATTGAGTCTGACTGTTTTTCTTTACTAAATACCTTTGTATAATTCATATAGCTACTGCTATAAGGCTATAACACGCAACGGTATCAGGCCTAGAGCATTCAAAGAAAAGCATATTTGATAGTATAGCTTTAATTAACATGTGCACGTTCGGCCAAAACATTGACCATTTCGTATTTCCGAGCGAGGAGACCGTACTCACACATCAGTACAGTAAAATACGTTTATAACGAAAACGCTTAAAACGAACTGACGGATATTACGAACTTAATTTTTGGTCCCGGCTATTTGCTGTATAGATGTTGTATATATGCTTATAACTAGGGTTATAACGAACTATAATTAGTGTTCCATTTGAGTTCGTTATAACCGTAGTTTACTGTATATTAGTACACTTTATTCATATAAATATTGTTCGAGTGCGTTCCATTTAAAGGGGGACTAGGCTGCCCCAGCATGTGTGATTCAAGGCTACTTTACATTTTATGATGTATATCAATCTAACAGTTGATGATTACGACGTACCTTTGTTACATAGAAACACTATCTCAGTTTCACCTTTGCATGTGTTTGTGACGGGTGCCACCGGTGGGGCAGGATACGCTCACCTTTTCGCGAACGCCTGGTATCATCACTATGGGATAGTGATTCAAAAACACATGCTCACGACATAGTCTGAATCGTAAATCGACTCTGTTTTTGGCACAGCTATCGTATGAATATGGAAAGCTTTTTGTCACTTTTATTTTGTATAATATACTTTATTATATTTTTCTTATGATAAACATTTACATACGAGTTGAAATTGATCACGTTGCTGCATGTTATCTGTAGTATTGCCTAAATCTGGAAACATGATACGGAAATATTCCTTGCATATTGTTCTTTCTTGTTTAGAATGCTGAATCTCCAGGAGAATGGAGTGCTGCGGTTGTTGGACAAGAAGTGGTTACGGAACGACTGGGAGTGTGGAGGCGACGGACGGACGAGCGTCTCAGTGAGCCTGGTGGACATACAGAGTGTGTTCTATGCCCTGTTCATTGGCCTCGGGTGCGCCCTTCTGTCGCTCATGCTGGAGTACCTAGCGCCTCGTGCCGGGGTGTCGTGCACGAAAACTTGGAATGCCAAATAAGATATATTAATTTGAATATGTATTATCTGCACATCCGTGTTGTCTGGAATGTCCGTCTGCCTGATATATGACTGTAGACCTCCTGCTACTTAGACACATCAACGTATCCGGGTAACAACAGTTTGACAAGTTCATCAATGCACCCGGATACCCCCAGCTTATTTTGCATTCTAGTACCCGGTACTGTTGCTTTTTCAATGCTTCTACGTATGTACATAATGCTTCTGTGTTAGGGCGGCTTAGGGCGTGCATTAATACCCATTTTTCTAAGGGTCTGTAATTCGCTGTGCAGAGTTGCGCCCCTTGGGCACGCAAGAAACCTATGATTGTTCGAATCATCCCGGTTCTAAGCGATTATGTTTCCTGGTTGTCAGCATCATACCCGTGTTCTTGATTTCACCAAAGTTGTAAATGTCTTAGACCAGCATCACTTAGGGTTTTCACCCCACACGTCGTGATATAACAGGAATACTGTTCAAAGCTCCAATATTTAGCTGACATGCTGTGATATAACTGCAATACTGTTAAAAGCGGTGACTCTCGGTACGTGATCGTCGGCGACTAGCATTGGCCATCCTGTCAGTCACTGGACAGTGGCCAGAAGACTGCATCGGTACAATATCAGAGCTTGCAGACCACTATGCGGCATAACGCAGACACCGGAACTCCGACTTCGAAGACATTGATGGGCTTGAACACTGCGACACTGGTGTTCACAGACAAGAGAAGATTCTGGGTTTTCAGAGCTCATGTCTAACACCGACGAGGAGAACGAACGTCGCGTTGTTGCGTTCAAGACGTCGAACCGTTGTGAAGAGGCAGCTGCATTATGGTTTAGGCGACATCTGCGACCAAGTCAGATGTGGTGATTTTGGCAAGAAACATAACTGGACAGAGTTACACTGACCACGTTCTCCGCCCTGCTGTATGAGCGTTCTTGTAACAGAACCCCGGACCCCGTTTCAACATGATAACACAAGGCTCATACAGATTTCATGCAAGCCAATGGCTTCAACGTCAACGTCTTGCCTTGCCAAGCACTATTACATGATTTATCACCTATAAACACTTGTGGGATCACCTTATCTTCAAACGACCAGGGCGTGCATTGATACTCGTGGGTTGCATACACGATATTGACTGTCAAAAGTGACATTCTGAAGGATTAAAGGGAGCTTCATGTGCTGATTTCGGCCTTGATCGTTGATCGATTACTGAACAACTGACCCCATCCTCCAAACTGTGGGCACGAAACCATTATGTTTGTTCTCATTCACGGAATAACTTGTAAAAATGTCGTTAATCTCTTTTGACAATTATCTTCCTTGATATTGGTCCTGTTCTCGATTTTGGAACACAGAATGTTGGCTGGTAAAATGTTTTTACTCGTCAGTTTATATGAATTTTATGAAACTAAAGTCAATCTAGATCATACGTAAGCATGTCTATCCATCTCTATTTCACATGAAATCAGCATCAGGAAAAATGCATTTTGAGGAGTGAAATGTGTTGTGTAATAAATGATTTCACAGACTACATGTTCGTCTATTGTCTATTAGCCAAGTAAAAACATCAGGATATCCGTTTCACGTAACGACCAAAGGGAGGATCTCCTGCCCCTTCTCTAAACTGACAAATGCCAATATTGATAAAGCTACTGAAACGCTAAAACTCCAGAAAGCTGCATTAGCTACATTACATAAGTGTTATTAGAAAGTATATATGCAGACGAACAAACCTCTCCTCTTCTACAAGAAAACACTTAAAGTGTGACATGCCATTATCCACACATGATCCAGCACTGGGCCGAAATTCATGTGGAGATCAGTACATATTTACACATTATGCTCGAAGTGAATGAAAACACGCGTCTTTGCATGTTTAAGATTGTGTTTGTTTGTTTGTTGTTTAACGCCGCACTCAGCAATATTCCAGCTATATGACGGCGGTCTGTAAATTATCGAGTCTGGATCTGACAATCCAGTGATTGACATCATGAGCATCGATCCACGCAACTGTAATACGATGACATGCATGAACCAAGTCAGCGAGCCTGACCACCCGATCCAGTAAGTCGCCTTTTACGGCAAGCATGGGTTGTGGAACGGGGCCTGCACCCCCAAGTTTACATTCACGTCACAATACTCTATGACGTGATTTGTGGAATCTTGTTGCAAGATCCACCAGCGAAACAATGCCATGTGACGTCAGCCTAGCAACGAGGTTGCTGGGGTTATTGAGTGTGCATAAGCTCCTCTCAGTGATCTATCATCTCCTCACGCAATACCGTTGAATAGGCCAAGAGATGCTGAGAGCTTTCAATGTTTGTTAGTGGAACTTGTTCCCGCAGTACATAAGAACGCGCTTTGGTATTACATAATGTGCAATACAGCTGTATGTTTATTAATGGGTGATCTCTTCACGGGCAAATAAATAAAAAGACATATTACACACTTGAATATACTATCGGCCCGCTATATTCTAAACTTTTAGCTGCGTTTTGGTGAATGTATTTACCTAAATTTGATGTATACATTCCACATAAGCATTTCCTAAATATTACAGTAAATACGTTTATAACAAACACGCTTATAACGAACTGACGGACATTACGAACTTAATTTTTGGTCCCGGCCCTTGCTGTATAGACGTTGTATATAAGCTTATAACGAACTAAAATTAGTGGTCCATTTGAGTTCGTTATAACCGTAGCTTACTGTAATTCGAATTGTCTGTCCATGTAATAGAACTAGGTAACGGACCACGTAGGACGTTTTTGATGCTTTCGTCGAATTCATTAAACTATTCAAAAAGTTATAGGGAAGACATGTGATCCTTCACATTTCTAAATTTGATGCATCCTGAGTAAAATGATGTCCGATGAAATTCCCCATTTGGATTTGTACCATATGTTCCCGTGGAGTTGGAGGTGAATAATTGTCATTCCTTAAAGTTTGCAAGTCGTTGTGACGGGTGCTAAAGGTGTGGCAGGATACGCTGAACGTTTTGCGAACATCTGGTATCATCACTATTTGATAAGGATGCTTCATGATATAGTCGGAATGTTTCAATGGACTCTTTGGATCATGGAGATGGTTTTTCGTCGCTAATATTTATGCAAGATATTGTAATGATTTCCCCCAATTAGTCCCTTGTATCAGTTGTTGAAGTACATATATAGAAAGATTATCTATATTCAATCTTTGTGTCATCATACACTATTGTTTAGTTTGCTTAAATTCCCAAAACAGAATTTACGGCAACGCTACATTGCTACTATTATACTGATAAAACTGAATATTTCGTCTTAAAGAAGTATAGCGCACAGATTAAAAAAGATAAAAGTCTGTTTTTTTCAGGCGAGCTACAAAGCCTTGGACGCTATTTACTTATCCAACACCACTTTATCCGAATCACAAGTAGCAGCAAGCAAAGTAGGTACACTCTTTCACATGGAGCACGCCGACGTGAAGACCACGTGGTATATATAAACATCCCCAGCCACTTAAATCTCGAAACAGAAACAAAACATCGAGTAGCAACGATCAATAAATGAGCAATATTTTAAGTTCAGCTCTTCAGACTGAACGTCTCGTCATAAATAAATAAATATACTCCCCCTCCAAACATTCCCACCACGTTAGAACAATGTTAACTGGTCCGTTTGCTCGTTATTGTAAACGCATTTGTCAGATCCTACAAGCTTGATGAGAAATGTAGAATTGATTTGCAATATAAAGCAATCTGAATGCTTCGATCACTTCGAGCCAGTTGTGTGTATGCCTAAATAATCTCTAAAGCGGACTTATTGAACTTTTAGTGTTGTTCAAAACGGTTTCAAAAACAGGTTCATGAAATCGATATTCAGTGTAACTTGTTTCTGGGGGCATGAGGAACTCCATAAACAGCTTCATGTATGACTAAGTACCGCTGTATTCTCTGCATGTCATTATAACAACACACACGGCAACGTCTTGACTTCCTCCGAGGCTATAGAGTGGTATGTATGTCTTTTGAAGCATGTATGTTGTTTACACGGTGGCCCAAACCCGCCACTGGTGAGATCATTTTCCATTGTAAACCTCTATATCTTATCTCACCAGTGGAAGTATCTGGCGGCCGCCTGATAACATATAGAGGCATACAGTGAAAAATGATCTAACCAGTGGCGGGTATGGGCCACCGTATGTTTAAGATTGACGTATTATTTCATCCTTCACTACCGAGTTTTTAGATTGCATTTTATTTCATTACTAACGATGCGACACTCACTACAATTCTGCTACCATCACACCTACTTACTACACTATTATTCCGACCACAACGTGTACTTCTTCTGCTACTACATCGACTTCAACCACTACCGCGTTTACTTAAACCTTTTCTCTTGCAAAACACACAGGACAAAGTACCCCTATCACAAATGAATGTTCTACTACAAGTACAACGTTTACCGTTTTCTTGACGTTTTCGTAAAATAAGCATCGATATAACTGATAATTGACATGGTTTAACTCAATCTGCCGTGACCATCGGGTTTTGGCAGCTCAGCAAATACAGCTGGGGTGTCGTTAACACCGAGGCCAGTTGATCTTAACACAGAGGAATTTCAGCAATAGCCGAGGCATGCGTATGCGTTGCCCGTGAACTGTCATCAGTGTATTTGAACATCTTTGTCTTCATTGATAGGACTTGTTTGTGTGAACCCTCACGCTGAAACAAACGTGTGAATGATTAACAGGATTTCTAATAGTACACGATTCCACTTGGTTCCCTAAAATTCGATATCTTTGGGTCTGCTTGTCAATACATACTCCCTTAAGGGTAGAAATCAATGGGTACTTTTTTAATCGAATCTCCCTTAATTGACCCCACCCTTTCTGCGGCTATCGTATTTCAATCTAATGTGATGGTGACATGTTCTCATGGAACAGATATTAGCGCTGCTTAGCATTCAGGGTATAAGTTCATGTTCGATAAAAACACGTACACCATTTAATTATTGA